AGGGACAGAAGCGCGAGCGGACCAGGGAGCAACGGGGCGAATGCGCAACGCCAGCGATAACGACAGCTGAAAACGACAACATGAAGACAGACAGACGAGAAGAGGGAGTTGGGAGGCTCCAGAGGTGTGTGGAGCAAAGCGTTGACACCCTGGCTATTTTCACGTTGACAAATCTGGCTTTCTGACATTTCCAATCAGCGTATGCAATCTGGCTAATAACTACAGAATACCTTTTTGATTTAAATTCGTAAAACTGTTGATTTTGGTGCAATACATATTTTTAGAAAACCTGAGAAAAGCTTTTTATAGACCAAAGCGAACAATTTATTACATCGATTTTATCCCGATACGCTGTGACGTTTCCAATATACTGAGAAAAGATATGGGCGGTTCTTTTACAAACCGAACACCTTTTCTTGGGTCACATTTTTGATTTGCCTGTACTATTAGGAAAATTAGTAAACACGTGTATCAGGATTTAGCCGAAATATTTTTTTGATTTTTGAATATTTTAGTTTGCCAAAAAACGTGAATTTTGAAAAAGTACCCTCTCATTGACAATCGGAATCTCCGGTTGTAGTAATCCGATTGACTTCGTGTCTTTTGCATTATTTCCTCTAAAACCTTCTTCTTATTGTTCCATAGGAACAATAGGGGGAAATCGGTCAAAATTTGTCGTTTTTCAGGATATTTCGCGCAAAATATAAGGTTTTCCCATGAAACTTTCCAAATCGTATTTTTTTGTGCGTACCTTGATCAGGGTAAAAGCGCGTGCCGATCGGACGTCTATATCATATAGCTCCCATAGGAACAATAGGGGGAAATCGGTCAAAATTTGTCGTTTTTCAGGATATTTCGCGCAAAATATAAGGTTTTCCCATGAAACTTTCCAAATCGTATTTTTTTGTGCGTACCTTGATCAGGGTAAAAGCGCGTGCCGATCGGACGTCTATATCATATAGCTCCCATAGGAACAATAGGGTGAAAAATTTAAAACTTTTATTTTTTTCAATTGTAGAATATTTTGTTGTTTATTAATTCATGTTGCTATTTTAGTCAAGTTTTCATTAGTGAAATCTGCAAAGGTATTAAAAATTCGGCTTGCCGAAGTTAGCTTCCGTCCTCGTTTAATCTATAAAAAACTTACAATTATTTATTTAACCGCCCATTTAATAAACAATAATTTTAAAATTATTTTATTTATTATTTTTTTGTATTATGTAATTTATTAAACATTTTTAAATATTTTTTTTTAATTTTTTATTATATTTTATAATTTTTATACCCTTGTAGAGGGTATTAAAATTTCAGTCAGATGTTTGCAACGCGGTGAAGGAGACGTTTCCGACCACATAAAGTATATACATTCTTGATCAGCACCAATAGCCGAGTCTATCTAGCCATGTCCGTCTGTCCGTCTGTCCGTTTCTATGCGAAATAGTCTCTCAGTTTTAAAGCTATCGCGATGAAACTTTCCCGAAGGTCTTCTTTCTATTGCAGGTAGTACATATGTCACAGCGAGCCGGATCGGACCACTATATCTTAAGGCTCCCATAGGAATATTCAAACAGTTCATTGTAACTTTGTAGGAAGTAGGCGTTTTGATTCTTGACTACTTAAAAACAAAATTTAAATAAATAGAAACGCTGAATCTGGAATCCCTGGAACTGCACCGAGTTAGCATTCTTTTATCTGCAAGGGTATATAAGCTTCGGCTGGCCGAAGATAGCTTCCTTTCTTGTTTATTTTTATTCATATATGAAGGTAGAAAAAACGTTTATTAAATTTTGTTTATATTTTAAAGATTGACTTGGTTCTGTTGATCCAGTGATCAAGTGTAATCAGTATGACTTGAATGTCGAGCATTAGGAAAGAAAAGTTATATTTCGGGGCTCCATCCAAAATCTTGTCCTTCAGTGTGGATCCTTCTGTGTGATGCGAGACAGCAGCGACAAGTTCATTAACTGATCCATAGCTGATAAAGACGTCCGATCAGGTCAATTTTTAAACTTGATCTGCGTACACATGTTTTAGGACGACTGTGAAAGTTTTAAATCGCTATCTTTTAAACTGAGCTCGCAAACGGTATTGAAACAGACATACAGGCGGACATGGCTATATCGACTCCCCTATTGATTCTGATATGGGGTCGGAAACGTCTCCTTCACTGCGTTACAAACTTCTGAACAAAATTATAATACCCTATGCAAGGGTATAAAAATAGCACTGTGCAACAAAATTATTACTCTTTCACTTTACTGAATGATCTTCTTTAAATTTCGAATTAAACTCAAAACTACTTTCGGGACTAGTATTAAATATTATTTAATTCCCATAATCCTCGCTCTTCCTTCAGCTGAGTAACGGGTATCTGATAGTGGATGCACTCGTCTAAATCGTTCTCTCTTGTTTTTTATTTAAAGTATTAAACTCAACATTTGATGATGTATGTTAGTAATGCTTATTTAGCAGGGTGCAATACGTACGATCTTACCTGGTGCTCCTCTTAATGCTTAATGTTTAATGCGCCCGTAAGTATGCAGATAATTTCGTTTGGCGCTCTACGTTTCCTAGCCACTCGTGCGTATACACAACACACTTTTCGCTTAAAAGTGTGCGGAAAAAGGGAAAGGCCGCACACTCACGCAGACATTACACACACCATCGAGCGAACAAACAAACATTCAAACATTTTGTGTCAATCTGTCAGTCACTCAGGCAGCCAGTCCTTCACTCAGTTTTTAACGCTTTTAAAGGTTGCCCGCTGTCGATACACAGGAATCGATAAGGGCTTATATATGGAGTATATCTTATTGCACACATGCCCAATTATACATGGAGAGAAAACTTAACATTTCTTTTTGTTTTCCTGGCTTGCATTTTACCTTAAAGATATAATTTATAATAATATAATAATGGAACCGAAAAATACAAATTAAATACTTTTTTTTAAATTTACCTTTTTAATTCTTATTACTCATTCAAGGTTAAACAAACTAAGATGTATTTTTGTTCGTGTAGCCCCCCTATATGAGTTGGCGATGAGTTCTGCTTATCAATGGTCACATAGGAAATACAATACAAAAAGGATACAATGAATATAAGGATGTGCCGCTGCTTAACAATGGAAAACCGGAATGGGGAGCGTTAGGAACAGGGGCACGAACCTACATACAAATACATATGTGTCTGTTATGCCAGGAGTGTTATGCGCCGTTAACGCGTTAAACGTAAATCAATAAACGCACAAAAAGGAAATTGTGAACACCTGTAAGAGATAATTGACGCGAAATTAAATTATACGTTGCCACATCGTGTGACAATAATGTCGATTTCATTAAACATATACATTGCAATATCATCTTGAATTGGGATGTAAGTTCAATTGGAATAATACAACTGCATACCATTCCGCAATCCGATCCTCCCCACCAAATAATACAAAAGAGCTTCTGGTATGCTAACTTAGTTGAAGAATGCCGCTGAAAAAATTCTGCTTCTGATGGTGTATATCCATATTCGTAGTCAATTTTAAAGAAAGAATGAAACAAAAAATGTATTTTGAAACCCTTTTTTCGAACAAATCATTCTTAATTAGGTTTAAATAGAAAAAAAAAACGATTCAGTACTAAGTAGTATTAAGATAAAAACTTAAATTTCTGCCCCTTGTAATTCTTTCTTTAAGTTGGAGGATCTTCCCAACATTTTCCTGCCACGGCAACATAGCTCATCAGAAGAACGCCCGGAGTATCCTTGTTTCCATTTCTTATTTGTGCAAAATGGTTACAAGGACAACCCGATTATGAGAATCTATAAATGACTGTGTGGGTTGGGCTGGCTTGGGTCTGCTAACATTTTGACCTTACTGGGCTCACAATCAGTTCGGGTTGCGGGGATGGAAAGGACGACGAGGATATGGCCAGGAGGATGAGCAGACAAAGCGTTGACAATGCCCTAAACAAAAGAAACACAAAACAGACGAGCAGATAATGGACGTGACGATATTGGGAGTGGGAAGCAAGGGAACCGCGAGCAATGGCAAAATGTATTTACATAGCTTATATAGTCGGGATAAGCTCCATTGTTTTATGCATGCAAGCAAAAACAATTTAAAGGGGTGGAGGAAAAACATTCGTGGAATGCCACTGACTTTTAACTGTTACATCTGCAGGGATAGTTTCCTGAGCTTTAAACTAAACAGCTCCAATATGTAACCTTTTAGATGGGAGTTCTAAGATATCGGCCAACTAAAAATACCCTAAAAAACAGAAGAACGGTTTTTTTAATAATAAATAATAGGTGGATTTTAAATTGTAATTATTAACAATTTAAAATCCACCTATTATTTAAAAACTTCCAATATAAAAATATAGGTCTTCAACCTACATCGCCCTAGGATGTTTGGTCATTTCATTAATGCTGAAACTAAAAAAAATTTAAAGTAGGGTAAAAACTCTGATTTCCCATACGATTTTAAGGTTTAAATCTTACTTTAAATTTAACAAGCGGACGAGAAAACGGCCCTTAGCGTGGTAAAAGTTGTGACGATCGCATCTTTAACATACGAAATTTCAGATGTACAATTTTAAACATAAATCCTTAAGCATTCGAATTAACATACCCAGAAGTCTACGAAACTTTAAAGGCATATTTATGTATAAATATTTAATTTCCTAGTTTATGTTTAGGAAGAGTGGTTGTGCAATTATTTGTATGTGAATTGCCCTTCGCAGAGCTGTTATTAACTTTTAAAAATAATAGCGATGAAAAAAATTGTCTGATTATAAACAAAATATTAGAAAAGATTCAACACAAAAGAATTTAGTTATACTTGGAAGAATTGTTTAATTCCCAATCGAAAAAGGGTCTAGATACGCCCCCAATAATACTTTAAAATCCAGTTTGTAATACAGAAATGAGGCGGTACTCATATTATGCGGTTTTTTTTTAGTTAGAAATTCCCGCCTGAAAACAGTTTCCTCCGATTACCAAATTTCAAATTTCCCTGAATTTAAATAATTTTAATTTGTTGGTTTGCCTTTCGGGTCTAATATAAAAAGAACTCGCCAAGCTTTACATAAAAATTCAACTAAATTATAAGTTACAGAACTAATAGTAGTACAGAGCAGTCGAGGCGCCTTATCTACAGCTCCGAGTGGGCGTACTCCTCGTGCGTGGAGCTCTTCTCCTTGGGCACGATGAAGAGGCCCTCTGCCGTGGTCCAGCGCGTTCCGTGCTGCGGCTTGTGCACGCCCACGATCTCCATTTGGCCGGAGATGGGTCTGCCGTAGGAGCGGCCGGACATGCCCAGGTACATGCCGGTGTCGATGTGGCGCAGTCTCACGTGGGCACTGCGCATCCAGCTGTCGTTGGAGCAGACCACCTCCCAGTGGTCGCCGGTGTCCCCGAGCCCGTCGGTTCCGTAGGCGGACACCTCCTGCTCGCCAGAGAGCGGCGACGAGAAGTGGTGGGAGTGCAGGTTCTTCTTGGTGGTCAGGTGCTCCAGCCGCACTGTGGATCCGCAGGCGATGGGCTCGCCCCGTTCGCACAGCTCGCCGGTCTGGGCCTTAACCACCCAGTGGCTGTTCACGTCCTCCTTCTGCTCCACGCCCGTCACCGACTGCTGACCCGATCCGGACCCGTACTTGACGTCGTGGGAGTGCAGGCGGAAGGAGTAGTCCGAGTTGAGTAGCTTCAGGATGGAGCCGCAGGTGACCACGTTGGATTCCGTGGCTGTTTCCGAAGGTAGGGAGATAGGTTAGCAGATAAAGATTACTGTGGGCAGCAAAGGGTCGAAAAGAGTGGCGTGGCCAATCACAGAAGACCACATAGACGCTACTTTCCGGGGGCTCGAAACTTACCGGCACCGCTGGAGAGGCTGCTGACCAGCGCCAGTCCCGCGAGGAGTAGTCCGTGCTGCATCTCGTCCTGCCTGTGTTGTCTTATCTCGTCCTGGGTGTTTAAGTCAGCCAAGCTGCGCCGGCAATTGCAAATGAAATCCCCGTTGAACACGCAAACAATAGAGGAGCAGAAACATCGATTGTCAAAACATCGATGTTTTTGGACTATCGATGTTTTTACTGTACAAATTAGGGCTGTGAAAATATATAAAAAATATCGTAGCGATATATGATTCTTTTTCAAAAATATCAAATGGATGGATTTTTTTTGGATTTTTGTGGGAAGAGGCTTTTATATTAATTATACAATGTATAGTTTTGCGTATCAGGAACAAACCTTTCTGATGATACTAAGCTACCTGGGGTGATAAGGTTACTGACTTAGATTGCCCAGGCAAAGTGTCCTTTTGGGAGATCCAAATACTTTCTCAGGATGCGAATGGTAGGCTTAAAAACAATTTGAGCTCCTGATTAACCTGTCGCATTGCTATCAACCGGTTATGCGTCTCAAAAATCCTTTATTTGCTCATCTTATTATTAGTCGCTCATCTTGTACTTTTGCAACTTCTTTTCAGATCAATTTTCAAAATGTCAAAAATATAAAAAAAGGCAATCTCAGGGAAGAAAATATTACGATATAAATATTTATTTTTATTCAAAAATATCGATATATTGATATATTTTTCACATCCCTACTGCAAATTTGCAACAATTTTCTCCAAATAAAAGGCAGGAAAAGTGAGGAAAATTGAAATCAAAGAAAAATTAATGGCACACAAGCGTCTGTTCGTCTACGCTGTGCTACTGGCGATATGTTATTTGGTTGGCGTGACATGGGTGAGTACCCCAATTAGCCAGATCACATGGCTGGTCCACTAATCCGAGTGCTACTCCGTCCCAAAAACAATCAACAAAGGCTGAGACTGCAGCGCAAACGCCAGCGATCGGCAGCAGCAACAACAATGCCAGCCAGCTGAGTGGTCCTCCTGCAGTTCCAGTGGCTCCAGTGGCTGCAGCAGCACCTGCCAAGCAAGCAGGCGTTCCAACTGTGGCGCCTCCGCCCAAGGTCATCGGCAAGTCAGCGCCCGCTGTGCCCGGCCAGAGTTCTTCCAATTCCACAAGCCCAACAACGCCATCTACCGAGTGGTAAGTGCTACTGCACCAGCGGTCAACGTAATAGTACCCAAGTCCCCGAAAATCCTATAAATATCTAAATTAACTAAGCTTCAATATCGCATAAAGGTTTTGTTTACACTTGTCGAGCACTCTTATTATATTTTTTGGTAAAGGTACCCAGAATAAGTTTAAACATAAAATTTTAAAAAAGTGGACAAGAAAAATAATAAAATGTACACAGAATTAACAAATATTAAGTGAGGCTTAACCTACACTTTTTGTTTTTCTTATTTAATATTTGTTAATAACTAAATTGTTTATTTAAAAGACTTACGTATTGTAATGTACTCCATTTTTTATTTATTATATGATATTTTTATTGATCATTACCATTTTAGCGTCTGTGCTGGAGCCCTGCTGCCCCGTTTGGATGCGAATGGCAAGGAATTGCCCATCTGCGCCGAGTGCAAGTGCTCCCATGTGGCGAGAAATACGACACTGATCAAGGTTGGCACAAACCTACGTGCTAATGCTTTCCGTACCTAACGCAGTCCCTCCCATTTTCAGGTCGTGGTCATCATTGTGATTTGGATCATCTCCATTTTAGTGATATACATGCTCTTCCTGATGTGCCTGGACCCGTTGCTGAACAAGCGAGTGAAGGCGAACTACCAGGAGCACACCAACGAAGATGTACATAACAAGCATTCTAGATACAAGGGCATTCAATATAGCCTACTAGTTACAGCCCAAGGCGAAGATGATGAGGCAGACGAAGTTGACGCCGATGCGGCTCAACTAGTTGGCAATAAAGAAGCACCACACTTTTGAATAGATTTTAATTTCCACAACCCCCTTTGTTTCATTTTCCGTTTGCGATTTTGATTAAGTTTTTAACCCACTCCACCCGTCCGAAGGGGCACTCACCACTAACCACATTTCGAAAGATGATCTAAGATCTTCCGACTAATTCCAAATTCTCCCCTCCTTTCTAACCAGGACGAGCCGACGCCACCCATGCCCGCTGCTAACAACCAGGAGCTCAGTGCCAGAGCCAATGTCCTCAATCGCGTGGGTCACCAGCAGGACAAGTGGAAGCGGCAGGTGCGCGAGCAGAGACGCCACATCTACGACAGGCACACCATGCTGAACTAAGAAAGGGGTCGAATTGCAGCTGGAGGAGATTAGCAGAAGCATGGGCGACTTAAGACACGTATTCCAAGCAGTTATCCTCTAAAAATTCCGCTTTTGGATCAAATTAAATATTCATAGACAGAATTATTATTTTAATTAAATTATGTAACCAAAATAAGATTGGAAGTATCGTTTTTATACTTTTTGAAATTTCTAATAGTGGAGGGAGGAACCTACTAAAGAAAATAAATATTACACGAACAAAGATTCTTTAAAAATATTTACAATGCTGGTGTCGCACTTTGTTCCTCTATTTTGGTAAAGTTTACTATTTTAATAATAAAAATTCGTAATTATGTAAAACTTCTGGACTGGAAATGAAGCGAGATTAATTAGGGGATAGTCGCAACAACAATCTTTGCAAAACAAACAGCTTGAAATATAGTATATTTAGCCACATTTATTTTCAAAAAATCATGTAGACGCATATCCTTGGAGAACTGATTTTAATGCATACAAAAACCGCCGAGCTAAACCTAAGCTACTTTCATTCCGGATCGGACATTTTAGTATCCCTTGATGGTTTCGGCGAACGTCCAATTTTCATTAACCTGGAAAGGACCCTCAACTCCGCATCCGTTGACGCTGCATACGCCCACCGTGTACTGGGAAATATTACGGGTATCGCGGTAGTACAGCACCTCCATGCACTTGCGGATCTATAATCAAAGAAACAGTTGCGGATTACTTCGTTTTAAAAAAAAAAAAAAAAAATAATAATAATAAAATAGTATGGTCCTTCTAATTTAAATATATACTTGAATTTTCAGATCTAACACTTCCATAAAAATTTAACTTCGTTGACAAACATTACAATACGCTTATGTATTTTTATATTTAGCCAATTTCTTGGTCTGGTACTGTAATTAATTTTTTTAGGTACTAAGTACTGAATAAAATAAAAAAAAAAGTATTAATTGATTATTATTCCTACAAAACATACGGATTTAAATCCCTGAAAATTATTACAAATATTGTCCAAATTGAAAAAATTGCTAATACAAAAATTTAAATTTTTTGATTACAAAAATTAGAATATAACTTTCGGTGAGAAACCCTGTGCTTTTTTGGGGACGAATGCATTTAAGCAATCCAATAAAGCAGCGGTCGGCACACATACAAAAACATTTTGTTTTATATTTGTGTCTTGAGTAAATTGCATTGGGCAGATCATCAGAGTGTGTTTGCAGACCGCTGTTCTACAGTATACGTGAGCGAGCAGCAGCTGGGCAGAACAAAACCCTATGCTCACTCAATAGGGCGCTGCCGACCACTGCTATAAAAGGACAAAGATACATACCAATTCGGAAGCCTCCACGGCGGTAAAGTCCCTGTCCTTGGGCTTCTTCTCACGCACGAGCGGAATGGCCAGATGACGGGCAAAGCCGGTGGCCACCACATAGTCCTCGTGCGAACGGCCGCGGAGATCCACGTTGGCCAGGTAGGGAGTTCCGTCGGTGTCCACGCCACCCACGACCACGTCGATGTAGAGGGGATTCATGCGAGAGCGACGGTTGTAGAGCACACGGGTCATCCAGCTGGCCAGCGACTTGGGCTTCATCTCGATGTTGTCGTCGCAGCACTGGTCCTCGATCATCTTCTGGTCGATGCTGCGCTTGATGGACTGGATGTCGGCGAAGTCCCCGCTGCCGCCGAGCAGGATGTTCTTGTTGATCTTGAAGACACGCTCGATGTTCTGGTAGCGGGCCAGGGATCCGTAGGACACCAGGGTGTCGGCGGCCATCATCACTCCGGCGTCGTAGCGAATGCCCAAAACGGAGGAGCCCGTGGTGATGGCAGCTCTGCGGATAAGGTAGGGGTTATAAAGTGAGGCTTAGGTAGGATTCTATCCCCGATTCCTACGTGCTGTGCTTGGTTCCATAGGGACCCGCTGTGGTCAGTTCACGGGGCAGCTGCTGCACGGGCGTCTGTCCGCCCGTGAAGTTGTAGAACTCGCCGGGAGCGGGTCCATTCTGCCACAGGGGCTGTGCTAAGCAGTTGTAGTTGTTCAACATGGTAATTTATTCGGTCAGGAGACTGAGTTTAGGCAAAACGACAAATTGTTTGTCTCAACCGGAGAATGACGGGCGCAAATAAAGTAGAGGTGGGACACATAGATGAAACCTATCGATAACCTCAGTCAGTGCAGTGTGGACAGACTTGACACCACTGTCCGGGAAAAATGCTAGAAATACCAAATATACCGAGATTAAATCTAACTGAAATAAATTTTAAAATCCAGGTACCGTAACAATTATGAGTTTTATGGAAAAAACTCACAAATAATCTTTATTTGAGATTTTTATGTCAAAAGACTCCAAAGCAATCATTATTTGAAATTTATATTTTTTCAATTTCCAAATAACCGTTACATGGGATTTTTATTTTTTTAAATCTCAAATAATCTTTTTTTTTGGTCCCTGTTAAAATCTTAAACATTTTTATACCCTTGTGAGAGTACAGTGATTTCAGTCAGAAGTTTGTAACGCAGTGAAGGAGGCGTTTCCGACCCCATGAATATATTCTTGATCAGCTTCAATCCGTATTTACCCAAACTAGACTCTCTGGTATAAAGCTATCGGCATAAAACTTTCCAGAAAGTCTTCTTTCTATTGCAGTTAGTGTATGAGTCGGAACCAGCCGGATCGGACAACTATATCTTATGAATCCAATATGAAGGATCGAAAAATAATCGAAAAGAAATTATTGCTTAGATGTTTTTTGACAAATAACCTCCTACGCTTGGGAATTACATTTAATTTTATTAAAATCGGACGACTATATAATATAGCCAGTGTTGGGACATACCTAGATACTTTTACCTAGGTACGTACCTAGGTACAATTTAGTGGTACCTTTTACCTTACCTAGGTATACAAATAATTGAGTACCTTTTACCTTACCTAGGTATTTATTTTTATATACCTTTGGAATTATTAAGGTACTTACATAGGTATTAAACATTGCTCTGATTTAAAATAGCTAAATATGACTGCGACACTGTAGTATCGTTTCATTGTATCGTTTCGTTTCAGAATTGTAATAGTCGGAACGCAGCATTAATAATTCAGCCGTTCTATTGTTTGTTTTGTGAAGTTAAAACTAATCGCAGATTTTTTTTTTATATAATTTTGTGCACGTATGTATGTTCCCATCACTACATCAATTTATTTATGAAACCAAAGTGTATTTGGCGCGCAAAAATGCCGTATGTACGTAAACAAACGGCATATACATGCATATGCACAATATATAGTCAATGTTTCTACATACGGAATTTTTGCGCGCCAAATATGTACATGAGGGTTTCATAAATACATTTGTGAAGTGAAACGTGCATAAAATTATTCATGCCGCGTGGTTTAAAAATATATGCACAAAATTAAAACATTTAAATTTAAATGAAATGAAAAGATATTGTTTGATTAAGACGACTAAAAACTGAAAACTAGTCTTATTTTAAGTTTAAATGATTACATTGAACAAAACAAAAAAATTATAAAAAATAAGAAATACCTTATAAATACCTTTTACCTTTACCTAGGTACTGGGAAATTTAAGTACCTTTACCTTACCTAGGTATTTATTTTTGACAATACCTTTTACCTTACCTAGGTAAAAAAACACAGTACCTTTCCCAACACTGAATATAGCTGCCGTAGGAACGATCGAAAAATTAAGGGGTAATTAATAGGAAACAAATTACTGCTTTGTTGGTTGTTATTGTACTCTCTTCGACTATATTATATACATAGCTGTCATAGGAAAAAAGAAAATTTAATTTTAAAATAATACGAAATTTAACACTTTGTAATTTAATGATCTGATATGATTTAAAACATATGTATGTATTACACTAGTTTACAAAATAATATTCTTGGTGTGCTCCCCAGTAATTGATGGCAAATTCTGTTAGTGTTGGACCCCTAGATCACAGAAATAGCATTTTTTTTTTTTTCGATGGCACAGGTTTTTTTTAAAGATTTTTTAAAGTTCGTAATGTTAAATTTCGGACTTTTTTCGAATTTCTTCTTATATCTCGCCAGATATGCACTCGATTGGGCCAGTTTTAGTTTTATTTTAAAGTCAATAGATCAGAGCTTTACTTTGCCATACAGATCAATATGATTGGATGAGTAGTGGCAGCGCAGAAGCTCGACAAAGATGAAAAATGTGTTTTTTGGTCGTCTGTAAGTCGGCTGTATATATCTTAAAAACTCGAAATAAATCCGTTGAAAAATCAAAATGGGTACAAACTTAAAGTTTACATCCTACCGAATAAAACAAGCCGGATATGGCCCAAATCCATGGAAAACTGGATTTATGGTGGATTTTTAAAGTTCGGATTTTTCCACTTTTTTCGGTTGACAGAGTCCAAATTTAAGATTTATCATAGGCGGCGACATGTAAACAAAAATGAGTGGTGACGGCCCAATCGAGTGGATATCTGGCGAGATATAAGAAGAAATTCGAAAAAAGTCCGAAATTTAACATTTCCAACTTTAAAAAATCTTAAAAAAAAAACTGTGTTATCGAAAAAAAAATTAGTTATATTTTCGTGATCTAGGGGTCTAAAACTAACAGAATTTGCCATCAATTGCTGGGGAGCATTTCTGCTGTAAACTAGTGTTATTAAAAAGGTTCCATGAAATCTTTATTATCCAAAAAAGCTGTTCGAGTTGTTCCATTTTTCTTCTTTGAAATCTTTTTGGACATTCTTATTTTTAAAGCGCTTTTCGGTAAGTTAGCACTTCTGAATTAATTCGAAAGAATAAATTAATAGTCAAATGTCAAATGTATTTTAAAACTACTTTTGATTTATAAAGCTTGTAAAAGTAGTAAATTTCATATTCTAAAAACCTCTATCCCGCCTGTTCCAGTTTTCACTCGGAAGTGAATTTGATTTCATGCTAGCGGATTTAAGTCCTCTTGTCAAATGCTTGGCGGAAAGTTTCCATGTGAATTTTTCGGAAGTGAACAGAGTAACAACGAGGGATATTTAAATCCTTGCAATTCTTTCGGAAGTGAGTCCTGTAATAGGTCTGAGAAATTCGATTCCGTGTGAATCTTTCGGAAGTGAAAACTAGAACAGGGCCGTATATATTTTTGGGGACACAGTTAACTACTTTCCACAAAGTCGTGTATTTTGTTGTTTTAAAAATATCGAAAAATACAGTTTACAAAATGCTATAAGTTTTTTTTTGTATTCTTTATGATGTTTCCCACAAACTTATATAGGCATAATGATTTATGCCATTTTTCTTTTCCAGTAGCAGACCTTATACCCAAGAAACTATTTATTTGCGCACCTAATTATTTTTATTTTTAAAAATAAACTCACAGTTCGATTACATATAGACACATTTTTTATTGCCAGTATACCAGTACACAATTTGTAAATATATAGGTTTGTGAATAATGCACGCCTTCCGAGGGGAATGTTTCGGTTTGCTTTCGCATCTTTCAGATGCCATAATACAGTCGATAATATCAGTTGCTTTATTGAGCTATGCTAAAAACAATGACGGGGAGACCCGCTCTTTAACACGATACGAATACGAATAAGGATACCCTACGCAAAACTACGAGCTACTTGTCACGGCCAATGATTGATGCTAATTCTATGTGGTTAAAGCTTCTAGTCCTTGCAGCAGCAATAGACATTATCGCTGGAGCTAGCTGGGGTTGTAGGCGTGGTGCCGCCCTTGAGGGGCTTGCTGTAGGAATGGGGTCCCCGCATAAAGACCTCGATGAGCTGACAATGCGATCTGTAAAATGTAAGCCAATTAATGAGTAATTCTTTCGAGTTAAGGGTACAAATAACTGACCTCATGGTAATGTCCAAGTCGGTAACCACCTCGCCATCACAGTTCCAGCTAGAAAACTCTGTCGCGGAGGAGGTGTTGGCCATCTCTCCTGGCGGGGAAATTGGTTGGCAAGAGCCTGCTAAGCTGTAGTCCTCCTCACCAGCGCCAGAAAGCGTTCTGAACCGGAATTCCCGGGTACGATAGACTTCTACAAACGGCAGATTGCGCTGTAATAGGGAATAGATTAATAATCCGCTGATTTCAGATTCCAATTTAAAAATGTAAACTTTAAATCACAAATCTGTTTGACCCCAACTTTTACCAGAAAAAAAAAGTGGCTACGTAAATTTAAAATAAAACATAAAAATGTAAATTTTTTATACATATTGTATTTCTTAGTTAGTAAACATTTTACTCCAGTTTTACACGAAATTTAGTCATTTTACATGGGATTACATACATTTTTTCTACGAAGCTGTTCGACTAATTGATAAAGCATTGCAAGGTTAATTAAAATACGTTTCGCACTAATGATTCCTAGGGTAGATATTCAAGTCTAAACGTATCGTAAAAAATCAGGATAGCAAAACAAAAGAAGTGCCCAGCGTAAGCTATCAAAGTTACTAAGATGTTTGCAAGCAACGTTAAAATAAATGCACATTTCCCAAATATAAATAAATATTAGTTTTGTATTTTAAAGCTAAATCCAACATATTGTCTAACAGGTAATACAAAATTAATTAAACAATATATATACTCACAATATCACCGCTCCTGCCGGCCGTGTTGAGCAGGAAGCGCACATTGTTGAGCAGCGAGGTCTTCTTGACCAGAATGAGATCCAGGCAACCATCGCCCAAGTGACTGTAGCGACTGATACCGTTGGGACTCCTGGCGCAGGCGCAGGTGATGTTCGCTCCGCAGATCATGAAGAAGTTTCCCCGCACCACCTTCCACTGATCGGTGCCGAGGTTTCTCATGGATGAAATGGAGCCGGAAGGCAGTTGAAGGTTCCCGGGACGTGGACGAGGCCTTAGCAGAGCTGCCTCACCGGGGGCTAGATGGGAGTCTTCTTCAGGCTCCTCCTGGTGAATCCGTTCCGACTCCCTGGACTCTTCCTGAATGAACAGAGAAGAGCGCTGCTCCTGTATGCTGCTAGCGAAGCTACAGCGCTGGCAATTGGCATAGCAAACGGAGGGCACGGACTCACCCAGCGAGCACACGCTGTCCGGACTCTGCGGCACCTCTTCCAGGGGCGTGGTCAGCAGCAGATCGGGCTCCTCCAGCATCCTCAGCTCGGCGTCATAGCCACGATTGCTCAGAAAAGCCTTGACGCCGCTGTACTCATACCGCCGCGGTCCCATCCAGCGGTAGTTCTCGCTCTGGGCGGCCACGTCGCCCAGGTAGCCGTAGCTCAAGACACTGGCACAAAACCTGAGCAGGGACTGGCCATTGCTAACGCTGCACACATCCAGGCCGCGGTGCTGGCCCAGAATCACATGGATGGCCGCCGTCCTCACATCCGCCGTGCCATGCATACTATAGGCTATGGTGTCGGTGCTGCCGGCGGGGATGACGCCCACTGGCAGAGCCGGTCTTGGAATGTAGGGCGGTCGCTCATCGTCCAGTCCCAGCTCTCGCATCTGCCGGAATATCAGTCCATTGATCACTTCCGCCACGGTTCCATCGCCTCCGACGCAGCAAACCGCATCGTATACTCCGAGGTCGTGGCTCAGCAGTATGTCCTTCACTTGGTTCGCCCTCTGAGTGGTGATGCAGGTGGCATCCACTCCGGCGAGCTGGAAAATCGGCCTCACATGACGCTCGTAGGTCTGGGCTCCCGCCTTGCGACCTCCGTAGGGGTTTATGAAAACCAACAGACGGCGCACTCGCATCCGCGAAGGCGAAGAACTCTGGAGACGGACCTGCAGCTCGTGATCCCACTGCCGCACTATGTAGGGATCCGAGTTGAAGAAGGTGAGCCTCCTCAGCTCCCAGCGATTGCAGTCCGTTTGGGATTTCGTCAGCCGCATGGCGTAGTTAATGGTCAGGTACTGACTGGTGGGCTTTCCCGGCGCACCATCGCCACTGCAACTGGAACTGCGTTCCGAACCTGGCGGCGATGGAGGCTTCAGGGAGTTCGCCTTGGTGTCCCCGCTCCTTATGCTGATCACATCGTCCAGGTGGAGCACATGGCTTTGTGGTCCGTAGGAGGATATTCCCCCTGGCTGAGAGGGCGAGTCCGGTGGCAATGGCGCCTTGGTCTCGTTGCTTTGGGCTGGTTGCTTGATCTTCTGCAGACGCTCCCAAACCAACTGCTGCCCATGGAGCAGGACCCGGTAGCTCTTCTTCTTCAGCTGGAAGTTGTTCAGCAGGACATTGTGGGCGGAGGGCGAGCACGGTGCGTACTTGGATGCACTCGTGGAGGTTACGGGGGCCACAAAGTCGGCGGCCGAGGTGGTCGACCCCCCTGATGGCTGCTTGGTCTGCGTCATCTCGACTGGACGTCGTCTGCGTCGTCGGCTTTGTCGGCACTAAGAGAAAAAAACGGGTTTCGATTAGAAATACAGTGGATCTTTAGTAACTCAAACTCAACAATGTAGGAGGTTATAATATAGAACATCTAATTCTAATGAAGCAGCAACAATTTAGTAGCCAAATTTGTGTCACACGTCATTAATGGGTCCCAAATTTAAAAAAATATTGAATTTAAAAAAATCTCGTGCAATACTATTTTCCTGCATTTTGATTACCAACTTTCGTTAAAATGGTATTTATTATACAATTTAACATTTATCGACTTTGTTGATTTTAAAAGTAGGTATATATGTATAAAGACACAATTTTGTACTTTTGGACATATTTTACAAGAGGTCAGCGACCTTCGTTGCAATGATTTTGATCTCGAGAGAGTCATTTTATTTAATTTAAAAATACATTCATTTGGCAAAAAATAAATGTGTTTATGCACAGTTATACAAAAAGAATGTTGCAAATCAATGTTATTAAGATCAAATAAAAACACCTCTTAACGAGGTAAAAAACTAGTGACGACCGCACCTTCAACATACAAAAGTTCTGATATCAACATTTGTGACGAAAAATTATTACACTCGTCATTAAATAGACTTTCTAATATTTTCTCATTCGGCCCGCCCTAGCAAACTATTCCAGCATTTTTCCCTTCACAGCATTTTCTATTGCAGCGTGCCGAATGAGAAAATATTAGAAAGTCTATTTAATGACGAGTGTAATAATTTTTCGTCACAAATGTTGATATCAGAACTTTTGTATGTTGAAGGTGCGGTCGTCACTAGTTTTTTACCTCGTTAAGAGGTGTTTTTATTTGATATCAGAAGTTTTTGTTTGTTTACATTTGCTCTCATAGGAGCTAATATATACATTTAAATTTAAATTGGTCAATCATAATTTTTAAACTATTGTATTTTAACAAATTAAGTTAAAAAGGCGTTGAAGTATTTTAAAATACCTTTTAAACGAGGTATAGCACATGTCTGTACCTTTAGTAGTGTAGAACTTACAAACTAAAGAAATTTAGCTATTTTTAGCTTTTTCCCGCTAAAGTAGCGGCTTTTTCCAAAAGTCGTAGAACAAAAGATTCCTATATGGAACTCTTAAGTGCAAATTTACTGATTCCATGACCCTAAAATACAGTTCGGATACCCTCCCACAAAATTCAATACTCAGGGAGCGTTAATTGTTCGAGCTGGCAAAAGTGGCTATTTTCGTATAAAAATAACTTTTAAACGTGACTTTTTACAGTAATGTGTTATATACCAAAATTTAAGGAATCTCAAGGGCTATACAGTTTAAAGTTGTAAGGAAAATCGTTAGAGCCGTTTTTGAGAAAATTAAAAAAAGCTAAAAAAAAGTTTAAACAAATTTTATTTTGTTCATATCTTTTTAACTATTACATTTACTCAAATTGCATATAGAAGGCGTTTATAGCATTTAAAAATACCTTTCAAACGAGATGCAGCACAAGTCTGTAGCTTTAGTAGTATAGAAGTTACGGCTTTCCGAATTTTAGCTATTTATAGCTGTTTTCCCGCTAAACTAGCTAGTTTTTCCAAAAGTGGTAGAACAAAAGTTTTTTATATCGATGTGATGAACGTCATATCAAATTTTCAGAACTTAAAAAACATATTTTGGACAAGTGGACAAGTGGACAAACAGAATTAAATTTTCATTTTGGGAAGAAGAAGAAAATCTTATTTTGGCTATAACTTTTGAACGGAGCGTCGGATTTTGACAAATGACCCCTCATTCGACGGGTATTTTCAAAAGGAATACAACTAAAACATTGCGAGGGGGCATTTATCCCCACCGGCCCCAACAGCTCCAAATTTCGAAATTTTAACTTTTTCACTTTCCCCGCTCTCTCTCCCAAGCCAATTGATTTTCCTAAAGTCTTGGTATGCAATCCTTTAAGTTTTTGCAATACCTTTCGATAGGTGTATCATTCATTATGATCGGACCATCACAGTAGATTTTCATTTCTTCGTGTATATATAGTAGTCGCGTTCGCACACTCTCCTGGTGCGCTTCGTCACTACATGGACTGCCGTCCATAGTGATTCACTTTATAAAATTCGATAAAATGAAATCCGAAGTTAACTTTAGGAATACCTTACTGTACTAGTGGAAAGAGTGGAGGAGGAAGAGTAGTTGGGGAATGGTGGTTACTCCTCACAATAAATCTGAGTTACGACGCTCCATTCTCTTTCCGTTCAATGTTGGCCCTTTGTTGCTTTTGCAATTTACGTAAGCTTTTCAACTCTTAATTACTTACTGAGAGGTGTCGATAATGAAAATGGGACGGAAAAGGCAGAGGGGACTGGGGACAGAGGTGACTCAATTAACTCCACGGAGACATTTTCAAATCTCTTCCTGACCTGATGGCTGTTGTCATTAACATAGGCACTATAATTTTTCAATGAAAACTCTGAAGGGCCGAAAAATAAAATAACTTCTAATGGTGATTATATGAGTTTACGGTTCATTGGTATCATAAAATCACATCAAAAGTACGAATAACAAAAGTGCGACTAGATAATAATGTAGAATTATTTACGACATTAGTTTAAATATGAAACTTGAAACTTGCACAAACTTTTTCAAATTTAAAAATGCGACTTTATGTAGATTTTTGTGAAATAACTTTATCGGACTGAGAAGTACCATAAATTATTTTAAATTGTTAGGCTGTATGATTCATGTGACGATAAAAATTTTCGCAAGGAATTTAATTTGCCAGTAATTTTGATAAGGTCACCATGAATAATAAATATTTCGTCATAAATAAATTTAACTGAACATATTTTAAGGGCTAGGTCTTTTAAAAATAGTTTTTATGGTTCCAAAAAATAGATGTAGTTTTTATTATGGTAATTAATTAATATGGCACAAGTTATATAAATAGAGCACGTGGGTTGAATGACAATAAACCATTACAACAACCATTACGTGAAAATTAGCTTATAAAATTCTAAGGTTTTTGCTGTTCCTAATAGCTTATCGGTCGCAGTAAATTGCACATTCTCAGAAGTCATTCACAGCAGATATAGCTTTTATATATATTCACATTGCGCGGTTCGTGTTCATAGCTCACCGAACTGCGCAAATGTAAAAAAAACTGGTTTGAATTGTATGCCACTCAATGGGAAGGGAAAACCAAAATTCAATGCAGTGAGTACCAGTCAAAGTAAGTTGAATGAACTCTGATTGCAGTTTTTAAGGTTCGGCAGGGAAAAAGCTGTCAAAAGGTATAGGTAAAAATAAAGATCACAGAAAAGATTGAAGCTATAAAAATACTTCTGAACTACTTAAAATTGCAGTCTGAATCATAGTTCACTTAACCAGAACCAAACAGGTTGCGTATTCAATTCATGTTCGGATCGTAAACTTTATGGTTTTCTCATTACTAACAATAAACAATTGCTTTGAAATTGGACAAAGAGAAAGAGAACAAAAATGTTAACGAATAAACATTTAGTACGTACGAAGTTCTTTAAACCATACCGATAAATAACAATGAATCGCTGTATTTCACATGCGAAGAGAACAAACCAAGCTCAGTCAAATATGGCAGAAAAAATATGCAAATCTATTGAGAAGTGTTCAGGGTTTAGTTAGCTGACTAACAAAGCAAACTTTGTTGTTGCTAATTAGAGAGTCGCACACACTCGAATGCCTGAAAGCAGAACTCGCATCAACACAGCCCGTCTTACTCGGCGTATGAGCAACGAATTGCCTCAAGGTTAACGACGAGCGACGGCACCCAAAAACCGCAAAAATCAGTTTTAGAATCGCCCCAGACTCGGAGACATAAAAAGCGGACCGGGGAAGCTGTATTCGAATTTCGAACAGCTCGGAAAACGAGTTCTCCCCGCTCGAGTAGCGTGCAGCCGGTGACCTTCGCCTTGAATCGGTCGAGTAATCTTGGTCAGGCTGCCATAACCGGCTGTTGGTCAAAGTATATCATTAAAACAACCTCGGACCTTGTCCACATTTGCACCTGAACTGCAAGCTGGTTTGCGGCGCATTTCCTGCCTTTAAATCTTGACATTGGTGGAGGAGAACCCCTTTTAGATCTGCAAATGGCAAGGCAAGTATTAAGCACAAGTGTTTCGTTTATTTGTTTTTTAAGTAGGTATGCGTACACAATATACATTAAATGCTTGCAAAAGTAGATAAAGCTCAGCTTTAATATTATATTAGCTCTTTGACATTGAGAATTTTAAAAGCAGCAATAAAAGTTCTTCACTAAAAATATTATTATTAAAATTTTAATGGCTGTTAATTGCATTTAATAGCTATCATAAAAAACATCTTATCATACATTGCTGGTCTGGGAGAAACTTTTTATATTTAGATCATTGAGGAACCTCAAGAATTTGGCTCACGTTCGCAGTACAGGTAATTGCAAAAGCCATTTATAGAATGTTTAGGCCGTTTATGCATCTCGTTCCCTTTTTGCTGCCAAAAAGTAATTAACTTTTTGTATAGCATACTCATTGCACTAAATTGAATATGTTTTTTAATAAATAAACATTAAATTAGCCAACCAGAATACCTATAAATTAAATATTTGTTCGTCTCCCACCCCTGCGAACAAATCAATCATGAAAAGAATGAAATTATCACAAATGCCACTCATCGGAGAACAGAAATTGGAAGAAAAACAAGCAGCAAAACACGAGGCGTCCCCTCAGGAAATGTGTTGATATATACAAGCAAAGTAAATTAAATAAAATATGTATGTATAATACTACCAAATGGAGGCCTCTACAAAAGGGGGGCCCAAAAGAAACGGAACCCGGTAATTTGCTATTTATGAGAGGAGATGGGAATGATTTCCCAGTGGTGGTACAAAATATCGAATTGGATAATAAATGTTGATAAAACACTACAAACTGACCTTTTTGCTTTTCATTCATTTAATTACGGCTAATTATTTAGATGTCGCTAATTGGCGAACACGCAAGAGATCTGTTGGGATAAAGTGGCATTTCAAATGTGCTAAACTTACAAAACTATTAAAAAGATAGCGCCCACAAAATATTTAACTTTTTGCAAGTGTATTGTATTCGTTTTGTGAAGAGCTATTCGTTTTTGCTGTTTAATCTGCACTCCCTTATCAGTAACTCAAACAATAACAATCGAGTACTTTAGTACCCTATGTATAGACTGGGTTATCTCGGAAATTGTGTGGGTCCGCATGACACGTTGTATAAAGCTGGAGAACAATAAATAAAACACTGTATATGCTACATAAGTATTCGGTTGATAAGATCGATGACATCAAGTTTCGGTTAAATTGCAACGGGAGTAACTGGTTAGCATAATTGATTTGTCAGCATTAGAAACCCTAACTGTGTATGATGAAATAAAAACATTTTTTTTACCTTTCTGTTTATAGAAGTAAAGGAGGACATAATTATTTATTAAAATTTAATGACATAACTTTTGGGGCCTAATCGATATTTAATTTATTAGGCGCTTTACCGTCAAGTTCAGATAACTTAACAGCTCGCTGACTCACTCCAAAATGAGAGCGCATGACAGCAGTAATTATTTAACAAAGCAATGAGTTCTAGTACATGTGGGTCGATTTTAGACAGTTCGTACGAATAAGAAAAAATAAAAAGACCGGAAATGTGAGCTACATTTGTGCGAGTAAGCTGATAACAAAACAGGGCAAATGGAACGGGAATAATGTACTTGGTTAAGTTATCAATATTAGTAGCTCAACTCCTTACTTTCGTAGCGTCTTCATAAGGCTCCCAACCCCTAACCTGGTTTTACCCTTTGAGGCATTATTCAGTCTTGACCCGCTTTATCGCACCCATAGATCAACGCACGTCTGACCTTTTCGGTACACGCAATCAAATAGCAGAGCTACACAAAATCATAAACATCATGGGGAGAGGCTCCTCTGACATGTGAGAGGGCATTAATCAGTGCTATAAAGCAGCTGGCCCGCAGAAATCAAAATAAAGGCGTACACGAATAAGCTTTTTCGAATTGCATGCACATCTTATGTTTGTGGTTCAGAATTGCATAAAAATAAAAATGTTAAATGAAAATGAAAATCAATTAATCTAGAATAAGATCAGAAAAAAATTTTCTGTTGAACATAAATTGTATAGCAGTGCTTCAAACATTTTTAGTAAGCGATAAAAATTCTGTCTAAACTAAAAATTTTTAATGATTCAAAATGATAATGATTTACATTCAGAATGTTGTATGTCCCGATTAATTCCGAACTGCACATCGTTAATTTGAAAATGTTTACTTTACATGTTTTGAATTTAAGGAACCGGAGCAGTGAATCTACATTTGGTAGGGGAAAGCGCATGTGGATGAGTTGGAACTTTATAGATTTAAAGCTCCCTCATTTAATAATGCGTTCATAAAGGGACTGCGTAGTATTACGGCATCGATACTTTGGGGTGGGTGGCCCCACGCACCCCCAAAACAATAACAACCCAACAAGACTCCCCAGAATCTCGGTTCGCTTGCCCTGGCATAACAGAAGTGCGTCAGAGGGGGATGGAACGAGTGGGCGGAGGGCAGACAGGGACAGCTGTCATCTCCATACTAATAGTGCCGTTATCAGAACAAAATACAGCTGTGGAGCCAGCAACAACTCAGCTGGGGACCCGTGTACGTGTACAGGTCCAAGCGAGTGTGCGTAAGAGTGCTGGTATGTGTTTGTCTGGCTTGAATTTCTGCCTCAATTCCAAACCAAGTGCAAGTGTACTTGTACTAATGCCCTATTCTCGTTCTTCCAACTGGAGTGCCGGTTCTTAGACTGGTCGATCTGGTTGGAAACTCACCAAGTAGACAGGTAGGTCCGCTTATCCATACAAGAACTGCTGCACTTTTAGTTGAAGTTGCTCTGCCTTTTCTTTGCTTTTTGGGAAATCAAGAAAACTCGATACGGATACGCATTGCAATTTCGCACACTTGCACTTTTCTCTCACACAAACACGGACACAGTTTGGGAAATAGCGAAATCAATTGGAGTTAACTGCGTTTCGACATTTCCCGTTACTCTGGCACAGTCACCGGAGCTCTTTGAGCCCTCTTTTTCTCGGAGCGGAGCCAACACAAAGAATTTGCGAGAACAATTAGGAATGCACTTCCGTGGCCGTTACAAAAACCACAGCGGACGAACAGAGATAGAGATACGTCCGAACCGCTCGGCCTGAAAAAAAACACTGGCCCAGTGTTACCAGGCAGTGAAGTGGATTATACCCACATCGACTTCCAACGAAAACGCCTTCCCAATAGGATTCCCAATTACCAACAAAAAGCAAGCGCCCTCTGGCCGAGGACCAAAGAACTAAAAATTTTGGAATCCAACAAACTAACAAGCCCAATTGGTAACACTAGGCGATTTTTGGACAACGTTGTCAAAACGTAAGTGTCATTATACGTAACATGTTTATAACAACACTGTTCGATATTCCGACACTGGCTATGGCGCGAACTTTAAAAGTCACTGTATTTCTAGAAGGTGATTACACTGCTCGACAGTGTTTTTGGTGCAGGCCTATGGGCATTCAATTGTTTTAATATAGATGTATCTATAAAGCATATCTGCATACTTTGTTTTATTAACATTTTAACAGGTGGTATTTGCGAAGTAACGGTTTGAAAAATTTTAACTTTTAATGTTTGGACTTAAGACATCTTCTGTATTCACTTTGTTAGATACCTATGCCAAAAAATTTATGAGATACTCTTCTACAGAATTACATTTGAGGTTCCAATATTATTTAAGTCAAATAAAGCTAGTAAGCCATTTAAGTAATTTGTTCATCTCTAACATTCAATTTCATGCGGAGGACAGACTTAAAAAAAAGGAAAATATGTGCCTTAAAGTATTCTATATAAGCTACGATATTGGCATTAGGCATGCAGATTATAGGGATTCCTGCTACTGCATCTCCCTCGCACTCCATTTAGTTTAGTAACGGATATATGATAGTCGAGGTGTTCGACTATAGCGTTCTCTCAAGAATATATGTACCAACTTACTTTATACGTTCGGAAACGCTTCCTTCTATCTGTTACATACTTTCCAACGAATATAATACACCCTTTTACTTAACGATTAATGGGTTCAAAAAAATTTACAAAAGTCAGTGCCAATAACAGTTAATTCTTTTTTTTATTTTAAACATTATTTTTTTTATTTATCTTTGCGAAAAATAATTTTTTAAGACTTATTGTAGTTCTGGAGAAACGTGAGGCGACTCACATATATCCTATAGTAAATTAAAGCTAATCTATGGCTAGGAGAATCACAATACCTTCTGTTCCTTCTTAGCAAATAGTTGTTTTCTTAAAGTAAATTTGGTGTACTAAAAACATATTTTTTAGGCTTTTATACGGAAATCAGCCCTGTAATAAGCCAGAGACTGCAATTTGCAACTAACTTGGCTACAGTTGTTACGGCTACATGCTCTTCCTTTGCTTCATCAGGAACTTCTTGAGCTTGCGTTCTTGGGACGCCACTTTAGCGACCAATTCACAGAGCCGCAGATTCTCGGCCACCAGTTCCTCCTCGATTGCCTTCTCCTCCTCCTCGCATCTTTTCTTTTTTCGGCGTGAGACGCGGCTCGCTTCGTTGTTCTTGATCCTGTCCTCGTAGGCCTTTCTTTCCTCATCGTTCATGCGCGACATGAGTTCGGGATTTGGTCCGTCGGCATGATCCTTGGCAGGACGGCCGCGTTTCCTCTCGCCATTTTTTCCGCCGGCAGACGAGGCGTTAAACTGGGATGTACTGGCCGCAGAGTAACTGGGCGAGGAGGAGGCAGTGAGGAAGGCACGGAATTCAGTCTGGCTGTTGGGCTTCCCACAGCTGGAGCTGGCTGAGTCGGTTGTGGTCTCATATTCGGCACTGGGGACTTCGTTTACGATATCTGCTCTTTCCGTTTCCGTGAAGGAGGTGTTGCTGGTGCTAGTACTAGTATCGGCGCCCTCAAACTGAAAGTTGAAGGAAGGAGAGAACTTGGATAATTAGATAACACAGTGGAAAAGTTCAACTGCATTAGGGTAATAAACATACGAAATAATAACAATTACTGCGTTTTTGACAATAACTAACCTGCAGTGCTTTTTCCACAAGGCTGGGAGCGACGTCCCTGGAATCGTTGGAGATCAGAGCCTCTTTGGTGGCGCAGCATGTGGTTGGAGCTGAGATCTCGGGGATGACGCTTACATCCTCTTCGATTTCTATTTGGTTGGTGTGGCTAGTGGTGTAGGCTTCCTTGAACTTTAAAGAAATGGATGCTAATGCTATCAGTTATGTAAATGTTATAAGCTGAAACTAGAGCTCTACTTGGTTATTAAAAACGTGGCCAAATACAACTTTTTTGGGTACGTGCCTTTTCGAAAGGCAGGAATTGTTTGATGATTTCAGGAGTACTCGGACCGTGAGTCGGGAATCGCGCAGTTCGATTGATCGTGGTTACAATAGGGTCTTGGATAACCAGAACGTCGTCGCTGTCACTACTACTACTGTCGCAGAAGATGGGCTCGTCAGAGATCAGGGTGGGCTATAAAAAATAATGAAAGGAATTTTGATATCGGTAAGGAGAAATGGAAATGTAATTTTCTAGTTTAATGCCCTTTATTATTTATTGAAGTTTTACAAGAACTTACTCTATGGGTAACCTGAATGGGTACTGGGGAGGCAACGGCAAAGTCATCATCAGTGGTATTCCATTTGTCTTCCGCCAGAACGAAGGGATATGAATATCTCCTGCCCTGGCGCTCATTTTCATATATATCACAGTCAAGAAGATCCTTCTCGTTGTCATCTTCATCAAGGTCAATAATATCCGTATCAATAAACATATCCGTTCCGTTTTCGCTGTTGAACGCGTATGCCGTTGATTCTATATCTTCCAAATAGACTGTGGCAAAGAAAAAGCAAAGGAGGGGAAAATCCAATAACAAAAATATTTTGAAATCTAAATTATTTTCTAAACAAGAATTATTACAGATATACAAATTTAGTTTATATTAAAAAAAACGTAAAAAATATCAACTAAATTGAATGCATAAATGGTGAAATCAAGAGCGAGTGACTCTATAGCTGTCTCGCTCACTCCATGTTTACGGTGAAATTTGTTAAAAGAAAATTATATGAAGCTATGAATTGAATGCACATAATGATAAATTTACAAAAAAATCCGTATTAAGGAAGTGAAAATATAAGGCAATGTATAAAATTGTATTTAATGGATCTAAAGCTGTGCTTTTTTTACCTATGAGTACAGATTAACAGAAGATACACCTTGACGATCAACTGACAGCAACCCAAACATCGAACAACTGCGTGCTCATTACATTAGGGGATGTTTTCCCTCAGGTTTATAATAATATTTGAGATTTACGCAGGTAAAAAAGACACCCCGCACTGGATCGATAGAATACATACTGCAAGGAGCAGTTATCGACCTTGTCGGAGCTGGAGAAAGTAGAACTGTCATCGATGGAACTATCGATACAATTGATGTTTTTGAAAAACAACGTGATTTAAAAAATGAAATTAAACAGATGTTTATAGCTGTCCCTCGTAAAGTAAAAGGGTATATTCAGGGGTGTCTCAGAAATTGAATGCCAAATATGGGTTTCAAAATGATGCTACACAAAATTTGTAAAGACGGGTTTTCTTTTAATTACGGTTTAAATATCAGCTAAGTTTTTTAGTTTCACTCCTAACCGTATTACTTTACGAATAATGGGTATAACTATTTCACCATATATTTTGAGCGGCTTCAATTTGGGAGCGCATAGAGCTTTTTTCTTGAGACTCTTGAAAAAACAGTATGGAAGAGGGTCGTTCTCCTCTGTGCGTTTCTATAAGGTCCTAAAGGTTTGAGTTCTTGATAAATGCCTTATTAATCTGTATGCGTTCACTCTCCCCGCGGTGATTTTGCAATGAAAATAATGATGAAACTCTGATGATTAATGATTGTCCCACGAATCATGATTAGATAGAGATTAGGCGCTTGCAGGGAACTACAGGGTTAAAGTTACAGAACACTTCTCCTGTGCCAATGCAAGTGTACCCTATGTACCTCCATCTTCAAATTGCTGACGGACTGATGGATGTCTTCTTCAACGGGCTTCATGTGGGTGCGCCTTTTCAGGCAAGACTTCGACTATTTCTTTCTTGATTAGTCTAACGTTGAGCCTTTCTTACTGTTTGATAATACATTTTCGCAGTGTGACACTTTGCTGGCTTCATTCTTCAGTAATTGCTCTTCCAAGTGAGTCTTTTGCGGATCTTGCTGACAGGAGTAAGTGTCAATGTTTTCCGGAGATCGATCCTCCATTTCAAATTCACACCTGGCAATGGAAACTCTTACTTCATGCGTACTCTCAAATTTGTTTTCAAAACTGATCGATAGATAAACTAGGCGATTGTTCTACACCATGCAATAATATTAGTTTCTTACGGCCGTACAAATGTTATTTTTTAACTCAAAATATTCTCAGATAGTTTAATTGTTTTGTTTACATTGCATTAGAGATGGAAAGATACTATCGGTAACCTTGCTGTGGTAACAGACCGTTCAGACAGACGACGATTCTGCAACAGCGACAACAAATAAATAAGTAGAAACACCTCGTGTTTTATGTGATTTAAGAAGAAAAGCCGTGGCGTCCAAGATAGTTTTATTTTTGAGCGAAAAAAAATAAAAATAAACAATAATCATTTATTTTGAGTTTTTTTTTTCAATCAGAAATAATGATCATTTTTTAATTTATGTTAAAATTATAATAATTACAAAAATAAAAGCCATGGTGAAAATGGATAGATCAACCAAAGAGTATTACTAGTGTATTTTTCTTTTTCGCGTATGTTTCAGCAAACCGTATCTGTTAACTACAGGTGAAATTTCCCCTTACCTTTTTTTTGAATTATGATGCTATGGTAAAACTCAATCGAAATCTTTCTTAAAACTTTTTTGACTCGACTAGAAGTTGAGTGAGATTATTTTCTGGGCATTCGACCATGGTATTCCTTCTTGATTTTTCTCTGGCGAAAGTTTGATTATTTAGTTCCAAAGTTGATGTCCACTTGCCGTCCCAAACCGATGCTGGCCACCAGATCGTAGACATTCAAATACCGCTTCTTGTTCCTGTACTCCAATATCACCTTGAGGGTTAAAGTGATCCGGAAGTCCTGGAAGTCGGACTGCAGCGTGCCATTGGTGTTGGCCGCGAAGAGGAGCCACCAGACTTCCATGTCGTAGGTGGCCAAGTGCAGTAGGCGCCCATTAGGATCTGCTTCTGATTGGGCTCTCGCAGGAAGCCCTCCACATGGGTCACAGTAAAGTTCTCGAAGTCCTTGTTCAGCCCCCGATTCTGCGAGTCCAGAATGGCAGTGTCTGGGAAGTGGTGGGAGTCCAACGGGGGCAGCCTGACCTACGGGATGCCCTTTAGATAGAGCTTGATCAGTGCTTAAATCGAACGAACCCGTTTCGAAATGAGCAAAGACTTTAGAAATTGCAAAGTTGTAAAATTTAACACGTAACTACTGTAACTTGATCTCGACAAAACTATTGAACGATAATTTTACAAGGAAACTACATTACGTAATTCGAATGTTGATATGTAGTTTGACCTCCTGGTTAAGGAAATTTATAAGAATTTTAAGACCAAAGTAATGTAATTCAAAAAACTAAAAAATTCTAACCCCAATACCAAAATAATTTTAATTTTGTTTTCAACTTAAATTGATTTGTTATCTAGTTTAACACCCCAATGAAAATATTTTTAATCGTATTAAATTTTTGTATGCTCTAGAGGAACAGCCAATCGAGGAAATCGTAAAACCAGAAAACCCTGTTAGAGATTCCTGTCCGGAATTGTCATTTACGTTTAGCATTAGCTGCCTGTAGTAAAGCCTGTGGGGAGAACCGAGACCAAACCTCTTTTTTGGAAAATGAGTGAGTATCGAATGGGCAGTGGGCCGCCGATCACTAACTCTTCCGCCTGCAGCGTCTCCGTGTGGCAAGTGCAACAACTGTCCCTGCGGCACCAGTGGCGGAGCCCCACCCCCTCAGCAGCCGCCCCACCGCCCGCCTCCCTCGTACGCCCACCAACAGCAGCAGCAGATGCCGGACAGCTGTCCGTATCCGGGGCCCCAGGGTCAGAACCAGAATCAGGGGGCCAGGGGCAGTGGTTGCCAGGCTCAGGGTCAAGGTCAAGGGGCAGGAGCAGCGGCAGGTGGTTGCCAGGTGAACTCTTACCAGCCGCCGGGTGACCCCGCACCATGCAGTGTCTACCAGAACCGGGGGCAACCGACGGTAGAGTGCACCTGCACCCAGAACCGTAACCGAGCCGCACCACCCACCGTCCAGGCTGACCACATCACCTGCAGCCGCGGACCGCGGGAGCAGCCCCCCGTCATGGAGACCCGCTGCACCTGCAACGAGAAGCCTGCCAAAATGGAGTGCTACTGCGCCCCTCCCGTGGCTCCGCCGCCCAGCCAACAGCAGCAGGCGATGGCCCAGCCCACCCACGCCAACGTGACCTGCGGCCAGAGCCTTCCCAGGGGTCCGCAGCCCTATCGCCACCACCACCAGAACGGCAACGGCAACTCCTGCGGGCACTGCCGGTCGCAGAAGAAGCAGAAGAAGTGCCTCATCCAGTGAGAGGAGAACGGAAATGGATCCCAGCAGGCGCTACCGAGCAGGCTACTCAGATTACAAATACTCAAATGACAGCACCCCTAAATTTTGGTTCAGTTAAATTCCCAGTATTCCTTCGCTTTCCGGCGCAATAAAGCCCATGTGACCGCCAATGGGCAAGTAGAAAGGGTAGTTCTTCGTGGGTCTGCAGCCACTAATGACTTTCTTCTGGACAGGGAACACTCCGAGCGCCAGCCAAGTGGGTCGAGGGCCATCGCAAGAGAGCGACGAGGAGAGGGTCTTCCATGGTAGCCACAGGAATCCAGAGCGGAATCGCAGTCGTCACTGCTTCGTGATTCGCTCGCAAAGGCCTAAGAATAGGGTGGGCCTCTTGGATGCGGATACCCGGTGCTGTTGTCCTCCGCCTCCTTTGGCAAGCTGCTGTTGCCCCGCTCCCACTCCCACCCCTCCTCCTGCTATTCCAGCCTCCAAGCCACGACAGAAATGCTGCTGTGCCACGCTCCCGGAACCTGCGAGGCAAAGAAACAAGCCCCAGAGATGCTTTAACAACTGCCCCGGAAACGGAAATGCCCAACAGGGGGCGCGGCGGATAAGGGCTTGTCATCCGGATGCATATCCCATGCCTGAGCTTCTGAGGACGAAGCCGATGTGCCTTCATCCCTTGGGCGCAAGATGCAACTGCGAGGATCGCAGAGTGGAGACTCGCAGGACAGCAGCTGTTGCACCCGAAGAGCCAGTTCCTTTCGAACCGGAGCCACAAGCCGAGATTCCCTACAGCGACTCCGTGAGGTCCTTCCAGCCAGCTGCCCGTGCGATAAACGAAGTCAGCCAAGACCCGCATGATCCGTACTATCCGTATCCCCAAAGAAATAACACGCGACTGCAGGAAGTGGATGCATTGGGCACCTTTGACTTGAATCGATTTGATAGGGATGCCACCCAACGAGGTCCGGGTAGAAGAAGAAACGTTTCCATTCGCACCTGTGTGGACTACGACTACGAGCCGGAATATCCACCTCGCGAAAGGGCCCGTCCACCTCCCAAGGGTCCTCCTGGATATCCACCTCCACGATCGCGTCCTCCGCCAGGATATGCAGTCCCTTCTCAAGCATATGCACCCAGAACTCGGCCACCACCCCCATCTGCGCAACGAAAATATCAACCCAGAGCCCTTTCCGATTCCTACGGTATGTACTTTTCGAATAATCCGAGTTCAATCGATCTGAATCCCAGTTGGTTTTACAGAAAATGGGGAAATCGAGTATGTCAAGTGTCCGTATAGATGACGGGTTGCGGCTACATTCCAAATTCAAAATTATTTATGAAAACCAATAGCCAGAAAACAAAAATTATTAGATGATTTTACTCAACAATATTTTAACAGTTAACTATAACAAGTCAACGGTCTTTAAGGACTTCTTCAGTTATGTAATTTGGAAATAAAACTGTTATAATAAAAAGATTTTTCCAAAACCGTAAACGAATCAATCGTTTCATATACTAGAAATAAATTAAAATGAGGGTAACCGATTTTAATAAAATTTAAAGATGAAGAGCTTTTTAAATTTGTTTATCGTAAAGCTGCGTAGAGAAAAAGTAAGTGACTCACAAAAAATAAAAAAATAAGTTTGAGAATCTTAGTTATCGATAGCAACACGCAAATTGCAGCCCTAAAAGTTTGAGAGCAATTGTGTTGCTCAACAGTGTTAAAAATTTAGAGGATTTTAAAAGAGCATTTTTTAGGGGAAAGTAAAATTTTTATTTGCAACACTGAGCCAGCGACGCGTGCAAAACACGCCGAATTTGTATTATTTTATTTGCTAATAATTAAAGAAATCAACCATGGATGACGCGGACTACGACAACGACGAGTGAGTAAAGGCGCTATATTCCAATCTCCAAGTCCTCTAACCGGATATTTCTACCAATTCCAGCGTTGGCGGCGACGACTTCGATGATGTGGACGAGGACGTGGACGAGGACATCAACCAGGAGGAGGAGGCGGACAACATCGAGATCATAGCCTCCGCCGGAGCGGGCGGCGGCGGTGTCCCCAAGTCCAAGCGAATCACCACCAAGTACATGACCAAGTACGAGCGCGCCAGAGTTCTGGGCACCCGGGCCCTCCAGATCGCCATGTGCGCACCCATCATGGTGGAACTGGACGGGGAAACGGATCCCCTGCAGATCGCCATGAAGGAGCTCAAGCAGAAGAAGATCCCCATCATCATCCGCCGATACCTGCCGGATCACTCCTACGAGGACTGGAGCATCGACGAACTGATCATGGTGGACAACTAGCTAGTACACAACCTAATTACGCGTAACAAAATATACAGACTAAGATTAAGGCTGATTAAGCACAAACCAGGTGGTTGAATTGTAGGGGAAATGCATGGAAAACGAATCCCTAAGGTGCTAACAATACTTAGTAGGAAGCAACGTTGTGCAGTGAAATTAGAGCCCTACAGGAGTCGACTTGAATTGACAAACAAGTATTTTTTTTAAATAGATTGAGGTAGTACAAGTGAGTTAACTTGGATCACTTGACCACTCGTAAGGAAAAACAAGCGATAAAAGTACAGAATAAAAGTGAGGGGGAGTAATAGAACTACTAAGCAAATAATTTCGGTTATTCTAAATTATTTTATATTATATCAATTGTTTTACCTTATGAAAAAATCAAGTGATGCAAGTTAACTCACTTGAACTCACTCTATTTTCAAAAATTGACTTGTTTTGTCAATTCAAGACTCTATTAGAGATCACTTCTACCGAAAATACTTATTTTATTGAATCAATTTGGACACACAAGTATTTTTCCGATTGGTGCTTCGTCTTATGTGCAATCCTGTACGTTCTCCTATTGAATGTTCTTCTAAAAGGACCCTGTCTTTACAGACTTTATTGCCAAATGGGTGCCAAACTATTTCCCATCACACCATGGATCAGCGAAAAGCACTTTGCTAGAACAGTATTTTATTTGACATAACAAAATGTACATATTAAGAATAAGGCTACAAAGCGAGCTGCTCCCATAAGACTTGACTTGAATCGTTCCCTAACTCCAGGCATATCCCTCGCCCCTTTGATAGCAAATGCGCTCCAGCAGGCCAACTGCATGTTGGCCAGTGCGGCAGATGGAACCCACCACTCCAGGCAGCAGGCCGCACTCGGAAAGATTCTGCTCGCCAAAGACCTGCCCGGCGGCATCTTCTCCTTCGACATCCGACTGAGGCGTTTCGGGACTCTCGAGCAGCTTTTGGGTGGCCTTGCTGAAGGCCAGCGTGTTTATGCTGCTGGCCAGCGTGGAGCTGAACATCTGGCGCGTCTCGCAGAGCAGCTCGGCCACGCTGGGCAGGAATGTGGGCAGGATCAGGCCCTTTATGTCCACGCTGAAGTAGTCGACGCCGTCCAGGCGCACTTTCTTGGACCGCGGAACCAGGTGCTGCATGGTGGCCTTGGGAAAGGCCACCGGCGACAGAAGAGTAGGTGGCACTCCCGCTAGACGGCCCACTGTGCTGATGGCGCTCTTGGCATTCAGGAGATAACTAAAGAATCCCTGGCACTCCACGCCATCGATGAGGAGCAGTGAATTATCGCTGAAATCCTCCCGCATCTCGGCAGCCTGCTGTTTCCTGGCATGCGACGATTGGATGCGTCGCAGCTCGCGCTCATCCACGCCCAAGCTCTCCAGCCAGTCCTCGTCGTCATCCTCGTCTTCCTGAGCCGCTGGAGGCGCCTCCTGTTCTCCTGTTTCCGGACCCATGCTTTCCTCGGGGAAGCTGTTGTCGTGTGCACTTCCGCTGGCCTCACTCTTCAGCGGCATGCTGAACTCAATCCCCTCCTGCCTGAGGGCCTGGCGCATTCCCCGCGTCGACGGCGTGACCAGGGCGTGGCTCTCCGCCCGACCGCCCACGCCGGCGGCCCGGAAGAGCACTGTAAAGGTGTTGGCACACAGGTAGAAGTACGGGCACTGGCGGGCGCGCAGCAGCTGGAACAATCCCCGGAAGCTGTAGTCCCACTCCTCGGCCAGCGCCTTGCGCTCGCGATCGCCCACCACGATGCCCACGTTCTCCTTGGCCGTGCGCGGGAAGAGGGTCAGCCAGGGCAGGTGGGGATGCTGCCAGTAGTAGGTGCACTGGTTGAAGCGCGTGGCGTCCGAGATGTCCAGCGTGCTCTCCGTCCGCTGTGGATCCATGCAGCGCACGAAGCTGGTGAGGCCGCTGGCCAGCTGCGAGGTCTTCAGCTGGATGGCCGGCAGCTCCGAGGGACAGAAGAAGCGGGCGCGCGTCTTCAGGGACCAGTCCACTGGCAGATGGGCTGTGTGCTTCTGTCGGGCGGCCAACTCTGCGTCGTCCTCGTCCTCGGCGTTCGTTTGCGGCTGCTGGAAGAGCTTGGCAAAGGCCTGAGGGTCGTATTTCTGGAGGACGAACTTGGCGGGCGGCGGACGAGTGGGCGTTTCCCGCACAAAGCAGGAGGAGGCGGTGACCACCGGTTCCGGCTGCGGAACCTCCGGATCGATTCGCAGCTTCTTCGCATCGTCTGTGGATCTGCAAGAAGGGATCTGGGTGATTGGGTTTCCGGGGCAAAGTGGCTTACTCACTTGGCAAACGGATTCTTTCGCTTTTGGGCGAGCTTGGCCTCCAGCAGTTTGCTTTTATCAGTCTCATCCACCTGGAGTCCCGGTCGCTTGTTGTTATTGTTGCTCACACGTGCGGCCAATTTGTTCTTCTTTTGCTTGAGCCGCTGCAGCTTTATAAACTGGAAAGGGAGGCAGTTGCATGAGTTGCGGGCAGGTGCTCGTCCACTTTATACCCACATCATCTGGTCGCGTCCATTTGGAAGCCAGACTCGCTTCGCTGGACATGTTAAATATTTAAGTTACACACAGGGGACTTTGAAAATTTAGAAAGTGGTTCACGGGCCCAAAAAAAAAAACCTTCGAAACGTTTGGCAAAACATTAAAGGCGCGCAATTAGAGATGTGCCAAAATAACAGATGTTTTACCGATCGATTGCAATTATGCGCCAATTTTCAACCCCACCCCCGAAAATATGTAGGGGACTTCCTAAACGATTGAATAGATGAATGAGGTTTTCCATTAAAACCCCGTATTATTTTCCCCATTATTAATAGCGACCAAATAAGAATGATAAAATTGCCAATTAATAATAAAAACACTAGAAAAATTTATGAATTGAAATAAGTTAGAATACTATACGAATGGCACGCGACAAGAATTATATTTCACCCCCGATAATGTTGTTCTCAATTATTGACCTCTTAGCACTCCCAAAACAGCATTAATGTTTTTGGATTCCATATTATGTAGCCCCTATTTATTTTTAAATCGATCGTTTAATTTGAAAGTTATTCACAATTAAACTGGGTATTCCCTAAACTGTGGAATTGCTGAACAACAGAAATTTTCAGCAGTTGAAAATCTCTGTTGATTTTTCTAAATGGCGCCAGCTTAAAAAATTGAAGTCTGTTACTCAAGACTAAAGACTTAAAATTTTTCAACGGAAGTGCTACAGAAATGGTGCGACGCGTAATGTATAAGTTTCCTAAAAACTTCAAATTTCAGGCCATTTCAGCGTTATATATCTATTTACTCTACTCTCTGTACTATACTCCAACGCCCACAAAACTCTTCAACTCTTAAATCGCGGTAAGCCAAATGATTACTCCTCTAAAAAAAATTATTCTTGACAAAAATTGTCGAAAATGTGATTACTTAATGACCAACGAATTCCTTTTATTTTTGCAAATAGAAATGTACCGATAGGCAAATAGAAATAGCATCGATACATAGCTAAATAAGATATCGATAGCCAAAACCACCTCTCTGCCAGGCCCTGCCATCACTAGCTCCACAACGTTTTAACTAAAAGTAAACAAGAACTTTTTGATAATAATAAACAATGAACGTCGCTCAGGTATGCCGAATATGCGCTAACAAAATCAAGGACCAGAAGCGCGAGCGCAACATATTCAAGTACTTGCGCGGAAAGTTGCTGGTGCAACTGAAGCTGATTACTGGAGTGGAGGTAACTTGGCAGATGACTCGATTTGTGTGAGCTTATCATTTTCCGTTCTCCAGCTGACAAGGAACCAGGGACTGCCGGAGTTTGTCTGCGAGCGCTGCTTTTCCGAGCTGGACTTGGCAACCAAGTTCCGCGAGCGATGCATTTTCTCGCAGAAGTATCTGCTGGACATAAAGAAGAAGTCCCAGGATCCGAGCATTGTTCACGTATACCAAGATCCCGAACCGCTGGACGAGCAGTTGATCGATCAGGATCAGTTGGAAGCGCACGAAGACGAAGAGTTCCCGGTCTTTCACGAAATAGAAGAGTATGGAGATCAGGAAGGAGAAGACGCAGCCGAATTTCTGACGGACGAGGATCCCGAGGCTTCGGTGATGGCGGCCGCCGAGGCGGCACACCAGGCGGACATCCAGGAGCAGCAGCTGGAACGGGCTGCCAAACGGCGCAGAAACTTTTTCATCTGCGACGACTGTGGGCAGCTGTTCAACGACGAGTACCTCTACAACGAGCACCTGGACGGGCACCAGGACCGCCGCGAGATGAAGCAGTTCTTTCCCTGTCCGGAGTGCCCGGAGACCTTCAACAAGAAGACCCTTCTGAAGCAGCACCGTGCCCAGTTTCATGCTGGCCAGCGTCAGTTCCTATGTTCCATCTGTAATGAGGTGTTCTCTTCTCTGGGAGCCAAGTTGCGACATGAAAAGTAAGGAAGTCGGGGCTTAGGGTACTTTAAAACTCTGACTATTTTTAGGAAAGTGTTGATTTTAAAGATTTTCAAGTGTCTAAAGATACTCTTTAAATTGCCTAAAAATCTTTTACAAAAATTAATTCATTTTTGTCACGGAATCGTCAGCTTTATTATAATTTGTAGTCCAACAGTTGGACTACAACTAGCTTCCTTTAAAATCAAATCAAACGCACAACACTTTTAGTTAGATTAATTGTATATTATTGAATAACTTACGTATTGTTTTCAGGGCCCATGAGAACGAACGACCTTATCCATGCTTGGAGTGCGGACGGATTTTCAGCAGCGTCGCCGATTTACAGGACCACTGCTTGACTCACGAAGAGACCAATCGGAAGTTCAGGTAACTACTTGGTTCTCTCAACTGCCTAACTTAACCTTAATATCGTTAATTTTTCTATAAGGTGTGAGCCCTGTAGTAAGGATTTCATAACTCGCAAGGATCTGTTGGCACATACGAAAACCCAACAGCACAAGCGGCTCGCTAGACATATGCAGGATGAAATTGAACTTTGCTTTGACAGTTAAACGTTATAATATTCATAATTTATTATTACTCGTTTTTATCAATACATTCAATGCTATCAGATAAAGCTGATATGCGCTATCTATCAAATAGTGAAACCGTATTTATGTTGAATTAGTGTATGGCTTAAAAAATATAAGTACAGAATATGAAGTAATGATTTAATCTAAAAAAATTAAATCAGTCATTGAGCTTTCTTTTAGTTACCATGATGGAGGGGAAAAAATGGAAAATGCATATATGTATGAAAAATGTATGTATTTCTGGTCTAACACTTGTAATGTTATGAATTATCAGTTGGTAGATAAAAGGTCATCAGACCAGGGACCGTAAATAATCATAATTTGAGATTTTTATTTTTAAAGGCGTACTGAGGTTTTTACAAGTTTTAATCAACAATTTAAATGAACAAATAAAAGTTAATTTGCTTTCCAGATTTGTTGAAATGCATATACTTTGTGGACAAGAGTAAAAAAAACGTTATATTTGACGTTTAAAACAAAATATCACAGTAGTCTTTTTAAAATAAAAATCTCAAATAATGATTATTTACGGTCCCTGCATCAGACTGTCAATTGCGCTGTAATCATTCATATTACATTTCTCTAAATTGAATATTCTAGTTACATTATATTTCCAAATGGATCAAGAAAGGAAGCTGCAGACCGTTTCTAAGGCCGATTTTTATTAAATAAAAAGTACATGTTACATTTTGATTTATAGCGACTTTCTTTTAATTTACCAATTGCTTCTGTAAATTCTAAAATCTTAAAAAATTGCTGTATTTTAAAGTAGATAGAAATATGATTAAAATTTAACTTTTTTACTAAGATGTATAAGTATAATAAGTATTATAATTGTTAAAAGCTAGTGAATCTACGAAAACGCTTTCATCTGCTTTTGTAACTATTATAAGCTACAAGTACCCTAAGTTTTGTCTAGTTTTAGTACTTCCATATTTCACTGCAAAATTTCAATAAGTAAGGAGAATCTTAGCCACAGCAGATTGGCGCTAATCTAATTCCCAACACAAATGAGCATTCAACTTCAAAGGGCGCATGCGCCCTTTGTCAGATGTACCTTATCAGCTTTGACTGCTTTATATAGAGGGCTTGGAATGCATTTTCTGAATATTCCACGAAATCAACTGGTAGCCGCCACATCGGACCGCAGAGCCGACGTCACATTGTTATACATACCGAATCGAAGCAGCTGCCGCCGAAAAATCAATATCTTACCAAACTTCTACGTGGACTGTTGAAATCGCTTAGAAACGCGCAATATGTTTTCCTGCTCGCAGAGTAAGCCGTCAGAAATAGTGGTAATATGTGTTTCAGAATGATAATCTTCCATTTTACAGCTGTGCACTTGCTGGTTGGGGTCCTCCTTGTCCTTTCAAGTGGCTACCAGGTGGATTCCTATGGCTCTAAGGATATTTTAGCCGATGCCCTGCTGACGGATCTGCTCAATCGCATGGACAACGACATGCAGGTGGGCTATTACGACGTGGAGAACGAGGCAGCTGCTGGCCCCAAGGATAACGTTGACCTGGTATCCCGATCCGAGTACTCCAGGTTGTGTGACGGGGGAAGCGACTGTATCCTGCCATCGGGAGCAGGTTCCAGTCCCTCCTTGAGGGACCACGAGTTCATGCAGCACAGCTCGTTGTGGGGTCACCAGTTCATCTCTGGCGGAATGGGAGAGGGTCCCAATAGGTACCCCACCATTGTGAAGAACGATGCTGGTCTGCCTGCCTACTGCAACCCCCCCAATCCTTGTCCTGAGGGCTATGATATGGCGACCCAAGGTGGCAGCTGCATTGTGGACTTCGAGAACACGGCCATCTTCAGTCGGGAATTCCAGGCCGCCCAGGACTGCACCTGCGACAATGAGCACATGTTCGACTGCTCGGATCAGGATAGTGCGGATACCGGATCGGAGAAGAGTGACCTCAACTCCGCTGTGGAGCAGTACATCCTGCAGATGGGACAGGAGAACAGCCTGAACAATGTCAACAGCCTGGTGAAGAAGGCAGGATACCCGGCAATGCCCGATCCCCGTATGGATGCAGCCGTCATGAATCCGTTCCTGCAGGGCGACCGCCTTCCCATCGCCGCCAAGAAGGGCAACCTGCTTTTCCACTAAGCTAGCTCGCTGATACCTCGAGCATATACGACCATACCTACATCGTTTTCCATATTGGGTGTCTAGTACTATTACCTATAATAGTTGGTTATCAATGTTGTCCCGCAACCAAAGTCTAGTAATGTTTCTTCCCTTCCCCCGCAAATAAAGTTATTCATATTAAACCAGGGCTCAAAGCCGAACTAAAATTGGTAAGGTGGTTTTTACTTAACCTTCGTAATTTAGTGGGGTAAACAATTTGTTCTATTCGATAGTTGTATTTATTTTCCGTATCAAAACTTTACAATCCATCAAGTTATATGTAATTATTTATTTAAAAGAGAACTATCTTCGTTATGTCGAATACATAAATAGGTCATCTCACAGCTGCACTTTCGAATCAGCTCTGCGTTGAGTATTTTGTGTCAGCATGCACTGGTCGTGAGTCCTGAAGGATCCACTCGGGATTGACTTAAACATAACCTAACAAGTGATAGTATAGTACATTGTATGAATGTTGTTGCCACCGCGGGCGATCGGCCCACGCACACGCACACATCGGCACTGGCAGTGTGATTAGCTAAGCATAATGTTCGTTGTGTCGTCAGGATCCTTCCATGTCCTGAATCTCTCTCGCGTCCCTATATATACTACACAACACAATCTCTCCTGACTACAACTCTAGGTGTTGGCTTAGTCTTACGTTTAGGCAGTTTATGGAAAGAGGCGGAATTCGTTAACAAGTTTTCTAGGTCTAGCTTAGCACTACGTCTAGGATGTACGGGTGATTCACAAGCGACCTGTACCATTGCCGCCGTTGGTGTTCTGGCTCCAGGAAACCTGGTGATGTGGGTGAGGGTTCCGGGTGGTCAGGCGCAGGGAGTTGCCATCGCCGTCCTCGTCAATCACGTGCTCGTAGCCCTGGTTGATCGTCCCGCCCCCATTCGAGCCGTAAATTTGCTACAAGACAATAGGGAATAATCAGTTTTCGAATGCCACCAAAAGATATTTACAGTTTTTACTGTAACAAAATGTGTTATCTTATGTGCTGCAGAATTACATTTACTTGTGTGAGCATTACCCACTGCGGATATTTTGCTACAGTAACAAAATGTGCAATATTATTGAAATTTTAAGTAAATTTCGCACAAAAAAAAAACAAAAATAAAATAAAAATAAAAACAGATAAATATTTAACCTTATTAAGTGTTGGACTAATACGTTTTCTGCCAAGTATACCGTGCACAGAAATTAATTTTTTAAAAGCATTCTGATCTATAACTTACCTCCGCAGCACCTCCGTTTACATTAAATACATCCTTGATGCTGATGCCGGCATTCGAAACGCGTCCGCTTCGTTGATTGGGCAGAGCCCCATTGTTGTTGACCTACAAATTCCATTCGAAGTTAATTTCCGGCTTGAAAATGTCTGAAGAATATTTGTATATCTTACCGGTGCCCCAGTGGTAATCCCGTACTCGTTCTTCGCACCCAGTGTCTGCATGGCGGACTTCCTCCTTTCGGCCATTACTGAATTCTTCCGCACCTCCAATGCCCTGATTGTCTCCGCTCGCATTGTGAGGCGTCGGGTGAGAATGGGCGTGGCCGGATTGTTCTCCGCATCAGCGGTGAGTTTCAGGAACCGCTTCTTGAAAGCCACATCCAGGGTGCCGATTTGGCGACGCGGCTGACGCGCCTTCTCCAGATTTTGGATGGTCTTTCTCCTAGCTATTCGATCTGGCCCGGAACCGGAATCATTGTCGTAATCCCCATCGATGCCTTGTAGTCTCTGCAAGTTCTTCACGATCTCTACAGCATGCTGGATGGGGTGAAAGAAAAAATATTGAATATTAGTTTAAATACGTGTTCTAGGTGCTATGCATTTCATTTACAAACCTTATCTATTAGTTGATCCTGTGTAAGATCCTCGGATTTCTTTTTGCAGAAGTTCAGTTCAGTTGAGGCCAAGATATGCGAGATGGTTCCGAAGCGATGGAACAACATGGCCGTAAACTGAATTATCAAAATAAGGGCAAAGAAGAACACGAACACCAGACCAATCGGTTCCAGCTGCAGATACTCCTTGGAGATGTGGACCTAATGGATAAAATAAGATATTAGCGGGCGGCCTGGAGAATTCCGATTTGGGTTAGTGACATTTAACGATTTGGTTGGTTGACGGTCTTGGGTTTGGATAATGGCTGATCTTAATACCAATTGTTGGTGATTGTGGCATGTTGAGGTTGAGGTGTGATACCATTTGGGAGGTTGGTTATATGTCGGGATTGTTTATATACTTGTATTTGAACATATTGTATAGATGTCGGAGGAACAATGAACATGCTTGCCATAACTCTGGGCATGTGTACAGAACAGTGATTATTCAGAAGGGTATATTGCTTACAGTTTAACGTGTTTTCTTTTGGGGGATAACTGTTAGAACCGCTTAAATGCCAATATGTTGTTCTGTTGTTTTTACATGATGTATTCGTATGATATCACTGTGCAACATTTTTAGGGTTATAAAATGTAACCGCAATTCTGATTTCATGGGCGGAAAGAACTCATCGAAATAAGCTAAAACCCATTTGGGTTTCTCTGGCTTAGCTCGCGTTTACCTTTTATAGCGAGTTAAAGTTTTACATACAAAATTTATTTGTAACGGCCATATCTTGTGAACCGATTATAATTTCACTATCAAGTCTTCAGTGATTATGTAGCTATGAACCCAAGGAACTAAATTGACAAATGACTCTTGCGCACTTAGCACCTAGTGCACCTAGCGCGTTAAAAAACAAATTTGCATAATTTTTCGATTTTTAACGCGCTAGGTGTACGTCTTCGCAAGAGTCATTTGTCAATTTAGTTCCTTGGGTTCAGAGCTACATAATCACTGAAGACTTGATAGTGAAATTTTAATCGGTTCAAAAGATATGGCCGTTACAAATAAATTTTGTATGTAAAACTTTAACTCGCTATAAAAGGTAAACGCGAGCTAAGCCAGAGAAACCCAAATGGGTTTTAGCTTATTTCGATGAGTTCTTTCCGCCCATGAAATCAGAATTGCGGTTACATTTTTCATGTTGCACTGTGTATATAGCCTGAACCGTTAGGATGGGGCTCAATAAACGGAAGTAACCGAGAACAAAGAACATCAGTAGCTGAATTGGTGATGTGACATGTTGAACGGGTAGTAAACATTTAGAGTGAAACGGAGGACAGGCAGGAAGTTAGAGGACCCTTCCGGAGGTTTTAGGGTAAGACAAAACACTGACAGTAGTAAACATCGTATAAAGCTTGTTTTATAAACCTCAGATGTCTCTTCGATATAGGTAATGTTCGTTTTGACGCCCAACGGCCAAATAATGTGTAACTTGTCCTTGTTCAGTTGCAACAAGAAGACAATCAGCACGAACAAGGCGTTGGCCATGAAAAACGCGAAAACCGACTTGTTTCGCAGCTCAATCAGGTCGGAGGCAATGCGGGCCTTCGTTTCGTTTCAGATCGTGGTGCCAAAGAAAGAAATAAACCAAAAGAGTTGTGTTAGTTCGGCCGGCAAGTTGGCAGTTACCTCCTGGGTGGACTCGTCGTAGGTGATGTTCGTCCGCACTCCGAAAGGCCACTTCACGTGAATGTTGTCCTTGTTCAGCTGCAGCAGGAACACGATCAGCACGAACAGTGCGTTGATCATGAAGAACGCGAACACCGACGAGTCGCGCAGTTCCTTGAGATCCGTGGCTATGCGGGCCTACAAGAGCGTTATCCGATGCGGCGGTGCTGTTATGTTGGGTTCTTTCGCGTAGCGAGTTTTCCGCAGAAAATAAGCTTAGCGAATTATGAGGCTGGCCTCGGCAAGCCGAAGTTTTAAATCTCTGTTAGTGTTCTTGAAAGACTAACTACTTATCTAGGTCTGATACGATTTATTTAAATTTCGAGAAAAAACATTTCATAATGTTTGAATATTGATTAGAAAAATATGGGAAATTTTTTTAGCAAATTTGTTAAGACTTCTTATATCTGTTATAATTCCTGCAGTTATTTTGTAAATTGTTTTTTAGTGCAGTTCAAAAAACACCTAAATTTGAATTGAACTAATTGAAATCGAAATGACTAAAACGTTTACAAAAGTTATAACTTTGGATCGATAATTATCGTGCGTTGATCATGAAGAACGCGAACACCGACGAGTCGCGCAGTTCCTTGAGATCCGTGGCTATGCGGGCCTACAAGAGCGTTATCCGATGCGGCGGTGGTGTTATGTTGGGTTCTTTCGCGTAGCTAGTTTTCCGCAGAAAATGTGCTCAGCGAACTATGAGGCTGGCCTCGGCAAGCCGAAGTTTCAATTCTCTTTTAGTTTTCTTGAAACTAACTATCTAGGTCTGATACGATTTTAGTTTCGACAAAAAAACATTTCATAATGTTTGAATATTGATTATAAAAATATGGGAAAGTTTCTAACAAATGGTTAAGACATCTTATATCTGTTATGATGCCTGCAGTTATTATGTAAATTGTATTTTTAATGCAGTTAAAAAACACATAAATTTGAATTTTAAGAAATTGAAATTAGATTGGGAAATAACTTTAGATCGATAATTCAAATAAAATAAAAATATAATACTTTTTTTCAAAAATATACAATGTTACCAAAAAATATTGATCTTAAGATTGAAATGTTTTCAAAATCTATTCCTATACCTAATAAACCAATTGGGCGTCTTACCTGCTCCACTGGATCATTGTCAATGGGGTAGAGATATTGGTCAATGAGGTCCTTCCAGAACTGGATCTCCGAGCTCGAGAGGAAGTCGACCTCGCCCTTGCGCACATCCGGATCCTCGATCCAGTATGGGTTGGTCAGGAAGTCGCGCTCCTGCTTCGGTTCTGCAGAAGTGTCCGAATCCGATTCGTCCGACTCATCTCCAGACTTCTCCGCCACCGAGGTGAGCAAGTGGTGATCCTTGGAGCCACTGGAGGTGGTTCTCCTCCTTCCGTGTCGATTGGCATGATGGCCGTGGGGATCCACAGCACTCTCGATGGTGTCCATCCTGGTTTTGATCGAGTCCAGCGACTCGGCGATGGAGGTAAGCTGCTGCTTTTCATCGGAGGTCTTCCCGTGGGTGCAGAAAATGCAGCGGAAGAGTCCGGCGAGCGAGAACTCCACGGAACCCTCCTCGTCCCCATTGTCTCCGATTCCACTCTGCAGGAAGCTGAGCATGCTCTTCTGCTTGACCCGCTTCTTCGCCTCCTCGGTGGCCTTCTTCTCCGCCTCCAGCTCCTTCTTGGTCTTCTTGGCCACCACCTCCCGGGTTCCCCAGGAGACGACGTTCAGGTTGATGATCGAGTACAGGATGAGCAGCAGGTACATGGACGGGATGGACAGCAAGTAGATCAAGCCGCATGTTATGCACCAGAACTCTTGTGGATGCAAACATGCGGCTATGAAGAATGAGCCCACCATGGATATCAGGAAAATGGCCGAGGGGGAACCTATTCCGTCCTCCCCCAACTGCAAGGCCGTACCCACGATCACCGCCATCATGATCAAGGCATATGCCGTCGACAGGACTTGGGCCACAAACAACTGGATGTTGGACTTGCAGGTGAAGCAGATAAACATGAAGGCCAGGATGGGAACGATGTTGTAGTGGAAGGAGGTCCAGTTGTCGATGCGGAAGGCAGCCACGAATGCACCCACCAACATAAGGAAAATGGTTCCGGGTCCCAGGATGGTACCGCCCATCAACATCATCTGGTAGAAGATGTAGAGCAGGGATATGTTGTCGTTTATCTTGATTGTGCGCTTCGCGTCCGCCAGCAGGTCCATAATATTCGCAATAGTCGAGGGCACCCATCTGCGCCGCTGGTTGTAGAACTCGTTGAAGCCCTCGGGACAGTGGGTGTACGCATCACTGGCGGCCGAGTACTCCACCCGATAGCCCCTCTGCAGGAGCAGCGTGCAGAGCCAACGGTCCTCGCCCTGATCGTACTGCACATAGTGACGAGCCTCGTCCGATCGCGTGGTGTACTTCTTCATCACATTGTCGTCCATGAGGGCCTTGCCTCTGAACAGGGAGAAGCATCCGGGGGAACAGAGCACACAGCCAATCATGTGCTCCGTGGCCTTTTGCAGCCAATGACCGATGGCGTACTCGAACAACTGATACCACACCATGGGTCCCGAGCCCACGGGATGAATGCGACCGCAGGCGGCTCCCAGGTTCTTGTTCTTCTTCATCAAGTCCACCAGAAGGGTGACAGCATTGGGCTTGAAGTCAATGTCTCCGTCCAGGGTCAGCAGGTAGGTGTTCTCCGCAATCGCATCCTTGCGATCCACCGAAATGGGCAGCTCCATGAGGCGATGGCCCAGCAAGTAGTACATGTACATGACCTGCGACCAGCGCTTCCTGTGACGAATGCGGTCCTTGTCCTTCAAATGAGTGATAAACTTGGTCTTTCCCGGAAGGGTCCACACCAGGCGGCCTCCGTACGGAGTGGGGTACTTCTTGGGCGGACGCAGCCTGATCGTGGTCTGGTGAATCTCAGAGGCAGCCTCGTCCATGGTGGCGATCAGGAGCTTAACGAACCGGTTGCACTGAATATCGTCATCGCTGTGGTCCGAGATCTCGAAGGCGTCGTCGAAGAAGATGTGCGCTGAAATGGGAGCTGCGGTGAGCGGGGATTCCACTGAATGACTCAGCCTTACTCACTCTCGAACTCGTAGTAATCCGGATCGAGGACCCTCAGATACTTTTGGGCCACTCGGCGAGCACACTGGTCCTCGTCCATCCGCATGATGCTCTTCAAGAACTCTATCATCTCGTCCTTGGTCTCGTGCCACATGGTGGCGCAGGAGTAGATGCGAGTGATGTTATCCGACGACTTAATGGACGGTTTATTGGGGGCCGAAGAGCGGTCAGTGTGCACCGAAATGGTCTCGTAGTATTCGTCGCCCTTTTCCTTCTCGATTTCCGAAAGATCCTGCAAGACAGAAGCTATAATTGGGGATCCCATTTTTGGCAAAGACTTTAACCCACCTCTGTTTTCACATCCGCCTGATCGTCCCGCCTTCTGTTGAGAGCCATCGACTGGTCGATCAGCAGGGAGGAGTACATGGGCTGGACGAAAAGCTTCTCGGTTGTGGCCAGACGTTCGCACTTGGGCGTCCAGATGTGCAGGGCTATCCAGGTCTGACTGAGGAGCCACAGGATCCAGGCCCAGGCCATTTGCTCGGTGACAAAGTTGTTGAACCGGAAGTTCGAGGGGCTCGTGAAGAACAGGTAATCCGGAATGGTGTCGTGGAAGAAGCAGGGGTCGTCGATGCGGATGCCACAGGCGGCGATCAGGAACGTGACGGACAGGGGAACAGTTAGACTGACGGGGAAGGCATAGCTGAATCCCTGGATGAGGATCTTGCAGGCAAACTTGCCGAAGATGTAGCACAAATAGGCGCCGAATATCTGCAGGAGCAGGACATAGACCACCGTGTTGTAGGCGGCATCCACGTCCACAGTGTCGATATTAGCCGACTCGAGGGTGTCAGGAAGAACGCCTCCTAGGCCAGCTGGCAGTTCGTAGACGATGATTTTGTGCGGGCCGAAGGCGTCGCCGTACATGGCGAACAGATTGCCGGGCTCCTCGCCCTGGGCCCAGTAGATCAGCAGGGTGACGGTGAAGAAGAGCAGAATCTTCCAGATGGAGAGGAACATGTGGCAGAAGTAGCGGGTGTACTTCATCTCCTCCTTAATGCGACCCAAAACACGAACCAGGCCCAGTGGAGACTGAGGCGACACGTAGTTCTCCCACCAGCCGCACGAGATCATCACACAGGCCACCGGGATGACCCACAGCTCCCGGCGGTTTTCCAGCAGTGGCCAGATCACAAGACCAGTCACCTGGGCGGCCACCGCCGCCAGATCGATGATCACCTTCACGAACCGCTTGCCCTCCTTGGAGGTGCGCGAGAGGAGGCCGAAGATGCCCGGCACCACGCACAGGCAGTTGGTCAGCATGGCGCCCTGGATGGCGTCTATCTGGGGCAGAACCACGAACATCAGCAGGGCCATGCCCACGGCGCTCATACTCTCCATCAGCCAGACGAAGAGGAAGTGGCCCGTCCGCGGCACCTTGAACGTCTTGAAGAAGCAGATTCGGGCTGACCGGATCAGGGCTCCGATCTCTGGCAAGGCGTAGGCTATCAGTAGCGCCCAGATCCAGGCCACTCGCTCCTCCTCTGGGAGCCGCACCACGAAGCTCTTGTCCCGACCCTTTTTTCGAAATAATAGAAAGGAAAGAAAAATAAAACATTAGGTGTTGAAGCAAATACAATTATTTCTTTAATGAGAGAATTAGAAATCCCTTGATAAACAAACTCTATAGTCCTATAATTGTACTACATTTTATTTTTTACGCTTACCTCTTATACTAACAATCACTATTCAATTATTAAGATGGACCAAGTCCTTACAACTTACCAAGTCTTTATTGCAGTACTCCATCTTTTTATCCTTGCGCACTTGCGAGGTCATGAAGAGCATTGTGCCCTTGGCGATGACGCCGCCGGTTAAAACTATGATAAACGTAATCACATAGGCGAAGATCTTTAAGATCTTGACGGTTAATTCTAAGCACTCCTGGTTCGCCGTCGATCCGGTCTCAATCTTGATCGGCGGATCCCGGAACACATCCCAACCTTTTGTCTCTTGTATGGTGCGTTGGCTGAAAATTGGGTGAGATTAAATAAGATTATCTTTTATTTACATGAGTTAACGAGAATCATTGTTCAATGAAAAAATAGCTATTCTAAAGACTTTGGAAACTTTAAAAATATCATATAAAAATTTGAAGCAATTTCATTGAAATGGGTGGGAAACGTCGAATATAATTTTTATCATGACAGTAAAACTTATTTATTGACCGAACCCATTCGAGAAAGCCGATCAACTCACAGACCACTGATCTGCGAGTTTTGCAAAGCTCCCTCGACTGGATGATCTTGACTTCCGGCACTTTATAGACCCGACTCCGCCCTGTACTGAAAGTGATTGTGAAGCAATAGCGGTCGGAGCGGGTTTAATCGCAGCTGTCTGGCTGAGACACTTTGGTTCCGGCCGCCTTTCCGCGGTAGTTGGCCACCACGAAGCCAACTAACGACCGGAATAAATTTGGAGGAAGCTCTCTGGCCGAAAGACCCGGCCAACAGACTAGAGTTGAGACCTACCTGCCGCCATAGATGTCGTGAGTCAGGGGCGAGCTCTCGTCATCGGTGAAGTTGTTGTCGTCGCTGTCGCCGTGCTCCCCGGCGGTTCCCGCTCCGGCTCCTTGCCCCGGAGGGGCCATCGGGCGATGCCGCATCGCAGACATCTCCCACGGTCGGTGCTAGCCCCCAATCTTGGGGCGGAGTGGCCAATGTTCGGCTGCAAAGAGACGGGAGAGGGTGGTAAGTAATTGAGACCAGGTTGCGATCGGTCGATAAGCCGGTTTTAATGGACAAGTAATTTATGGCTATGGAAAACGGCTCCCAAGGACAGGCGTCCTTTGACTCCGCCCTCGGACCGGTTTGGGTCTTTTATTCAAGTCTCAAGTCGAACCTTGAAAGCTTCTGTTACATCTACAGTCTGCATACAAAGAAATGCATCTTTTTTATAAAACACTATTGTAATATATTATTTAAAATACATATCCCGCATACACACAAAAAAAACTTGGTAAAATCAACTGTAATAATTGTCAAACAGGCCCCAACCAGCAAAATTGTCAATTCTACTAAGTAAATAGTTATTCCACAACAACAAAATACACACAATTAGCAAAGACACACACCCAAAGCAAAAACAAAATACACGTAACTATTTTAATAGTTACGTAACTATCAATTTTACCAAGCAAATTTTTTTGTGTGTATAAGGAGTATCTATTTGAAACGGGACTTTAGGTAAAGTTCGAGTTCTTCAGATGACATGAAAATATTATTTATTTTTTGCTAAGCTTGAGTTCAAAACTGATGTAAATACAATGAAAATCATATACGACCAATCCCATTTTATTTTTTCCGTGTAGCTCAAAACAGTGACTCATGGATTGGCCATCTCTGTGATTTATTTTACATCTTTCTACTGACTTCGTGCGCCTTCAGATTTTTCTCACCAGCTTTTCACTTTCACTTCTGTAATTTTCAGCATAGAGTTATTTAAGAAATGGCTGGGGTTCAGTAAGTCGCATGCACCACTCGAGACTCCGATTCGCCTCAGTTGTTCCACATGTGGCACGGAACTGAAACCGATGTTGCCTGGGTCTTCTTCTCTTTTTATGGTAATTAAGTACGATTACTCGTTTGGATTGCAGTCGCAGTTGCCAGCACTGCTCGTATTGTTCTGCCAATGCAGGCCTTGTGCCAGATTCTGGTCCGAGTGCAATATTTGTGATTATGAGGCAAATTGAAGACGCTACTCGATTGGTATTGGTCGTCTAAGGAGAAGACTTAAGAAGTCTTCCTACACCTTTGCCTATGTAAGTCGGGACAGCTGAGAACAGAGTGTTTTAAAACTTACAAAAATCATTAAGGTAAAAAAAATATTACCAATTATAAATATTTTATGTAATTTTAAAATTTTAGCTTTTACAGAAATATAGGTATAAAAAAGAAGAAGTCGTAATCATTCATTTATATCGGGAATATCATAAAATATGTCAGAAGAACTCGGGGATACTTGAGAAGCGGAAGCTAAACATTCGTCATGAGAGGATTCCTCAACAGCGACGGATTTCGACGGAGATGGAGATATAGAAGTTTCCTGGAGTCTGTAAAGCTTTTCCCTGAGCTTGTGGGACAGATGTACAGGTGCTACGATATGATTGCAGACTATGGCTTTCCTGTGCGACCCTTTAGGCAGGGATCCTCCACTTTGTCGTTGCCTTGCACGCACATCGAACTCATGTTTGTGGCTTGTGGTCCTTTGTGGAATTTTGTCGCTCCTTGAAAGGGTCTCGAGGGGATTGCTTTTGGGGGATTTCCTACACTTGCTTGGCTGGGTTTCTCGAACCTGCGCTGCATGGGAGGCGTACAGATTAAAGCGACTGTCCAGGCTGAGCTTCACCACCAGGACGGATCGCTCGTTCTCGTAGTTCCGGCGGAGCGCCTCCAGGTGCCGGATGAGCTGCAGGTCAACCGGTTGGACCGACCGGTGGGCGGTGACCTTCCGCAGCCGCTTCGTGATCTCCACCTCCGACATGAAGCATTTGACCAGCCGCTTGATTAGTGCGTTGAACTGCTGATCGCTGAGGGGCCGGCGATCGGCCTCCACCACCCGGAACCTGGCGTTCTCCACCTGATCCGGTCGGATATGACCCTTCATCATCAGCGGTGGTAGTTGGACGCCCCTCTGGCTGGCCAATCTGGAGCTACTCAACTGGGTGACATCGAAGGTTGGCGCTAGTACCTGGCTCCGCTTCACAGTGCCCCCAACGGTCGGCTTCTTGGAGGGTGAGCCTGAATTCAAGGAGGTCTGCATGGTTTGTCTTACGGGGTGGGGTCTCAAGAACAAAACAGAAATTTTGGGATCCTCTTATTGCATTGCAATGCTACACGTATTCTGAACAGTTGACTTGACTAATGTTTCAAAAGTCTACAGTTAGGGCGATGGAACTAAAATAAAACTTTCCGCAACGCCTCTATAGTTTATTTGAAAATCTAAAATCTTATCGAGTTTAAAATCTTACAATTATCCGGGATTGCTTAATTCTTAAGGCATTAATAAATTGTAAATGTAATTGATTTTAAAATGTACTATATTAAACGAATAAGTCCAGTAGAATATCTACTGCTTGGAAACCATATTTTTAAAAGGACCACGAGAGAAAACTATCAGCTTGTTATTAAAACCCAAGGGGAATGGCCAGTATTTTATAAGTCAGTTTACAATTTTGAGATCAAATTAACTTTGAGATAGAAGTCAAAATAATACAATTAAATCTGGACTACATCATAATTTTAAAAATTATTTAAATCTCAATCAGCTGGAGCTTAGGAAGAACAGCTGTTGGCTCTTTAGGATGCTGTGGGTGGCATCTGGCCCCTTTGTGGAGGATTCTGCGCACAAGGCGGTTATGGACAAAAGGATGAGTCACCCCCAAAGGACGAAAACATCCCACAACACATACGTAAGGAGGAACGCACAATTTTTAAGCTTACGGCAGCGTAGGGGTGGCTTTTAGACACACATTCAGAGGAGTGGCAGGATGCTTTCGTAGTGAAAGTGGAGTGCGCCTGTTTTGTGCTTTTTAGGGCAGGAACAAACGTGACTTTTCAACCAGACCGTGTGGCCTAAAGGATAAGGCGTCGGACTTCGAATCCGAAGATTGCAGGTTCGAGTCCTGTCACGGTCGAATTTAAATGCAAAATGCATTTTTTTATGCTGGGATTAATTTTTTTGTTTTTTTGGATTTTTGTTTTGACTGACTCGGTCGTTAAAAGTGACTTAGTAACTAATTTGGCACATTATCTATTCGAAAAGTCATCTCTTGTATTTTAAAACACAATAAAAACCCGTTCCATCTTCGACTGTTTGGCAACACAAACTGCAAAATCATTTTAATATGGGAAAAATACGCAATTGAGCATCCATCGGACGCAAGATAGAAAAACGATTAAAATGGCCACTGCCAATGAATATCCAACAGAAATCTTGTCTTCTCTGATTCTTCTAAATGTCAAATGTCCACCAAAATTGATTTGATGCACCAGTTGAACTTGGATTAGTTATAAATCGGCTATAGTACGGGTCTTCAACTCTTAAGATCTCAAGTTGCCTGAGAGAAATTGACTAATTTATTCGGTAGCTTAAATTTAAGTAAGGCACTTAATTCTAGACTCTAGATATATGAGATATAAATCTAAGGTTTGATTAATGAATTGAACCATTTAGCCAAACAATTTTCTGTGACACTTTATACTTTCTCATTTGATTTTAGGAATAGTAACTACATAACTATTGAATTTTTAACCTCCCGAACTAATCGCTACGGAATTGTTTTACTCTAAACTTGATGTAACCAACTTATAAAGGTTGAATAAATAAAGCAGCAAAGATTTTAAGCGGAAAAAAATTATTAAGGCACGCTTTAATTTATCAATGAGGGCATTCTTTCATTACCACCTACAGGGGGGAAAGGTAAAAGAATCCAGATGTTTAAAGAAACGTGTAGATCCCCGTGGAAATGAACTCATTTAACCCTAGCCAGCCTCAACATTGGAGTACTTTTACCCACACACCAGACGTGCTTGCCATACCAAATATGACCTAAGTGGAAGAAAATACGAAATACAAATCCCATTAGGCATTCATGTCGACGCTTTAAATCAACGCCGAGGGCTAGAACGATCGAGCCCGAAAAGGATTACGGCTCCGCAATTGACTTGGCAGAGTCGGAGAAACGAACATATTCTTGTACATTCTCGTTGGCAGTAAAAGATCTCCGATAGCCAACCGGTCGGACAGGAAGGCAAACTGGAGCGGGCCAACTGGAGGTCTTGGAGTCGAGGCTTTTGTGCTGCCCACCGAAATAGACAATGGGACACAGCTGCAGGCTCTCAGCTGAAGCTTGAGAGAGCTTATTCCATTACTTCAAACACGTTTGGGTGTTTCTAGGGATATTTCAGTTATCACATTTTTATTGTTTAACAAATTGCAATTAACACGAAACTGATAATACACGCTAAGTGCCAACTTCTGTGCTGAGTTTTTACTCCACAATTTTCCAAAAATTTTGGCAAAACAAAAATGGAAATTCAGAAAATTCCAACAAATTCATCTACTTCCTATATCATAGATTATAAGAAAAATTAACTATTTTTTTACCACTCGTTTTTTTTACTTTGACCAATGGTATAATCCATCTTCTCATATTCCTTGTTACCCAAAATAAACCCCAGTATTCATTTAATTTCTTAAAATATTTCTTGCCAACTCATTTAATTTTCAGTTCTTTCACCTTTTAGTATCCTGTTTGTCTGTAAACTCTTTACCGTTATATTTCTGCAAATATATAAAAACCTTTTTTGACTTGAGTGAGTCACTTTAATTTTCGTAAATAATTTGGCAGTTTTGTGTTGCCGACTAATCCAATTAAAATGCATTCAATTGCAGAAAATTTGATGGTTTCAAGTATGAGATATGTTTTAATATATTCCATTGGAATAAAGTCAACCATGATTAATCAAGATTGAATCAAGGTACTTTGATTATGTGAAATGAGTCACAGTAAAGCTTAATGTTTGGTTTTTACGTAATGCGTAAGTTGAATCGGAACTGGCACTTCATTTTTGGTGTTTCTTTTGGGTTTTCTCGAGACCTGAGAATGATTTGTCTTTTGTTTGGGCTTGATTTTGAGTGTTCATTGATGAGTATATTTCGGGCTTTAAAAGACTTATCCGATGAGTGTTCATGCTTAATGACATAGTTTTGGAGGGCTTTAATTTTGAATGCGAGGTAAAAATAGAAAGAAAGAAAGTTATAAGCTGATGATGAATTACGTGACTTAGACTACTATAATTCCCATCGTAAGCAGTTACTAAATTCGTACACCAGCCCTCATTTTATTAGAGGCTTAATAATCTGAATAATCTTTTTTACCATTGACTTTGAAATTGTTGAGCTGGCTTACCTCTTTAATTGAATGCTCCAAACAACAGTTACCTGCTATATGGAGAGAAAACAAATAAACATTGACTATTTGCAGAGGTTTTTGTTTGGCACCGAGCCACTCGAATGATGTGAGCAAAATTTAAATGAGCAGGCATTGAGAGAGGAGACCTCGAGACTTAAAACAGAATCTTGAAGAGGAGGCGGCTGAGCGAATCTTATTGGAAATGCCAAGCGGATGAGTGGACGTATTCGCCAGCAACAAGATGATCCAGGTGAAAACTTAAGCCAGGTGACATTTCGCGCTGGAGATTCCCTGTGAAAGCACCCCAAAAACCCCTTTCAGGTGCTAAATGCCATGGAAATCTGAGGCCCGACTCGCCTTGGCTGACTAATTTAATTTATAATTTATAGAACAAGTTGCTCGGTTTTTGGGTGTGTTGATATATTTCGGCGAACGGGTTTTGTGATCCGCAAACAACGCAAATTGTTTCCAGCTCCGAAATGCTAAAATAGCCAGATTGGCTGCAGCTTGTAAAAAGCAAAAGTGTTGCCAACAAAACCCGTTAGCAGCAGAAGCAGAAGCAGAAGAAAAGAAATGAAAAGCGAGAAGCTGGCAACGAAATAGAAAGAGATCCGTAACTTTCACATGCAGATACATGGTAGGAGAATTATACCGTTGCTTTCTGAAGATCGGATGACGATGGCGATGAAATGGCACAAAAGAAAAGTCAACCCAATCGGGCTATTGTCTTCCACAGATAGCGAGAGTGAGAGACTTGGCCAGGTGAATGTTGCTCCGATTGGTGGGCTATACAAAGAACAGAGGAATTCCGAAACGAGGCACTTTTCACTGCACGGATTACGGATTTTGCCAACTTCCTTTCTCCTCAGCGGATTCGCCTGCGTGGCCCACTGATTCAAATACTTAATTTCGTATTTGATTTCTTTTCATTAACTTTTTCTCTTTCGCTGGCCATTGCCCGTGTGTTGGTAATATTGTTGCTGTTGCTGCACTAAACTTTTGGCCCACACACACTCGCTCACTTTTGGCCACACTCAGACACACGCATGCGCGCACGTACCGTTTTGTAAGACGTTTCTCTCTCTTTTCACTGCCGTCTCGTCCGCGCAGCTCTTTTCGGGTTCGTTGTCTTGGCCAAACTGAATTGAAGTCTTTCGTTTTTGCCCACTGGAAGTGGCCGCTGTCGACGGCGCAGTCGCTGCGATGCCGCTGGAAGTGAATTTTTATGAGCGCTTAAGCTTGTTATTCTGTTTTTACTGGGACCGCTGCCTGTTTTTTACTCGTTTTTGGAGTGGTGAGTGGTAACGGTTAACCAAGTTGGTAGTAGGTCCTCGAAACAATTGCGCGTTTGCTAGTAAATAATACTTTATATCCTTTCACATTTGAGTCCGTGAATGTTTTTACTGGAAAACGCAACCTGCAAATAAAAATTTAAAAAATGAAATTTCAAATTATATGAATTTTTTGTTTAATTTTGTATTATTTTGTTTAAAATTTTTTTTTAAAAGCAACCATTAGACATTACCGTCTTTCTCTTATTTTCACCACATATTTCTCCAGTCAATTCACTCCTTCCCACATTGCATGTGTATTGGATTTTAATTTGCATGCCTTTATTTCTTTTGTTTTTGCGACAACTTTGGTCGAGGTCGTCTGGTTTTTTCTTTCTGTCGCTTTCTGTTGGCGTCTTTTAATAATGCTGCTCCAATATTGCGATCGAAGAGCGCACGAGCTCAAAAATAGAGAGAGCGCTCTGCAGCTGGAAGTAATTGGCGATTAAATTCAGTTGCATTTACCGTTGTTGTTGCCTGGAAAGTCGTACTGAGCATGCGCAACATCGGCAAGTAAACTATGCTTGAAACGTTATATTATGAAAACTTCTTTGGTATTTAATTTGTATTTGGCATCCACTTAATTAAACACATGATTATTAATATTATACAAAAGAATTTATAACTGCGTAATAATGTATGCTTTCACATTTTTAAATTCTTAAATTATCGACTGTTATAATTAATATTGAAAATGAGATAATCGGAAAAATACCAGAAAAAACATATTCCTATCTCCTGGAACTAGTTCATATTTTATTGCAGCTTTAATAGGTTTTTTTAATAGCAGATAAGAACCCCCAGATAACAGCGAATTAATTAAAAGAAAACTTAAATTCCTATAATTCTTTGAAAATTTATCGAACCAGTCGTCAAATAATCAAGGTATATCGTTTCCGGTATATTTCAGAAATCTTCGTGGCATTTTTAGTGCCATTCGGCCGCAGCATATCTTGGCGCTACCGCTGCGGTCACACTGGTCGTGTCGCACAAATAAAATAATAAAAGAAAAGCAGAAGGCAAAATAAACAGCCGACCCGATAACTGAGCACAAAAATAAGGCGTACGTAGTATAGACGAGCAGGCAAACAAGGCGGCTGTGCGGGGCGGAGGTGAGTATCCGATACTCCCAGATTCGGAGAATTCCACTTTCCGGAACTGGTGTACGTACATACGTGACCTCCGGATGCGAGCATGCACAAATAAGTATATATATCTATATATATGCCGCCCGACAGATCCTTCTTACCGGAGCGGAGTGGAGCTGAGCGTGACAATGGGCGCCTGTGTGTGTCGCATGAACCCCGACAACGAGACGATGAGCGTCTCCTCGGCGAGCATCTCGCGTCCGGCCAGCGCAGGTGAGTGGCCTTCGAAGTGCCTCCTATATGCACACATGTATATCATTCATCTATATCGACTGCAGGCATTGCCATGGGCGCTGCGCGCAAGAACCGACCGCTCTGCCACGAGACCATCCGGTGGCGGTCCGACGTCCCACTCACCGAGGGGCAGCTGAGGTCGAAGCGGGACGAGTTCTGGGACACGGCGCCGGCCTTCGATGGCCGCAAGGAGATCTGGGATGCGCTGCGGGCGGCCACCAACGCGGCCGAGGGCCTCGACTTTCAGATGGCGCAGGCCATCCTGGACGGGGCCAATGTCTCAGTCCCGAATGGGTGAGTTGGTCCTTACGAACTAGAACCCTGGACGAATCGATATTACCCGATTTACAGATGACTCGGTTTTTTTGTCAGTGATAAAATAGTTTAAATGTTTGAACTTCTCATGTAAGCAGCTCCTTTAATTTAAAAGGTTTAAAAAATTACTTACTTATTTTTTTAAAAAGCATTTCGTTTACCCTTCGCATAATGTAGACTGAAGAACTTGACATTCGGATATTCACAATTTGTATTACAAATCCGACAAAGTCCCTAATGACACGGCATGCTAATTGCCATCGTCTAGAAAATCAATAATGTATATGGTGATTTCACATGGCCATAACTCCATTAATGCATGACAGCGATTTGCTGGTGTCCTTTGCTGGACACCACGAGGGTATCATAAATTTGTGATGAGCACTTGTCCGGAGAGTTGAAAACGTACTAGAAATAGCGGGGCTATGGAAAATCGTAAACCAGAAATATAAAAAAAACTCGAAATTATTAATTGTATAGCAAAGTTTTAAGCTGAATTATTTATTAATGTAAATAATTTACAGCAATCACTTTTATTTAGTAGAGTATTTGAGCCGTCGACCACACACCACAACTTTCTCGCGCTAACGTTTTTATTAGACATCGATTTTTGACTGACACTCCGGCACTTCCGCGCCTCGGACTGCAGACCATATTTATTTAAATGCAGCGCTGACCTTTCCACCACTTTCGGTGTTGCATGCACCAGTGTCCTTGATGAAGGGTCCCTACGTAATTCCGTTGTTATCTCTTGGCCTATCAGACTTGGCCCACTTGGCATTGAATCATTAGCATTAGGCTCAATGGAGTGACAAATTTTTTTTTGGGCTGGCTGGGGATTTTCGATAAGATAGTGATAGTGGATGGCCCACCTGGTTACTAACCACTGTTATTTCCGCAGCTACCTCACAGAATGCTACGATGAGCTGGGCACCCAGTACAAGGTGCCCATTTACTGTCTGTCATATCCCATAAATATCGTCAAGGAGGAGAACGGACGCGACTCGCCTGCCGAATACTCTGAGCCAGTGGATGGCGGAACCGAGATCTTTCTGAAGCTGCGCATATCATCGACCATGAGTGATGTTAAGCTGCCGGTGTACTCCAAGGACACCGTGGGGCAGTGCAAAAAGAAGCTTCAGGTGAGTCCAGTAGTCAAACCATTTATCGATTATTATTTTAACTTTCCCAGTTGAGTACAAGGCAGTATAGTACTCGGTTTTAAATGCACCAATTATACCCATACTTTTTCTTCAGATTTAATATATTTTTCAATTTATCCTTATATGAAACTTCTTAGGCCGCCGAGGCTGTCGACGCCTGTTGCCAGAGATGGTTCTACAGCGGCAAGTTGCTGGGCGACAAGGTGCCCATCGACGAGTGCAGCATACACCAGGGCTACGTGGTGCAGGTTATTGTGAACACAGAGCACTACAACCACGACAATAGCACGAGTACGGCGCATGCCAGCTAGCGGCGCAGTCAACTCCCACTAGTCAACAGCAATAGCAACAGCAAGGAGCCACGACAGCAGCCGCAGGATCAGCAGCAGCAGCAGCAGCAACAACTTTTGGCCAAAGCGGGCAGCGGCATTCGAGGGAGAAGGACTGCCATATACTCAGTTCACAGCACAAGGAACCTTAAGGGGAATGTACAGCAAACACCAGAGCATCAGCGGGTACAACAGCAACAGCATACTCATTGCATTTATCAAAATAAGCAACAATTGCAAATTGTAGCTCTGTCTGCCTTGTTGCTGTTGCTGTTGTTGTGGCTGCTCGCCTTGTTATGCTTTGTTTAATATATCTATATATAAAATATGAAACAAAAGATCGAAACCGAGTTGCTGAGGAAGGGAAATCGGAATGGGAAATGATTATAAGATACATAAATTATAAACCTACATATATTTTTTTGATAATAATTACTTGATAATAATGCAACTGATTTAGGCGGTCTACAAAGCATATACTGTCCACTGTATATGGAACCTGCTGTATTGAGCATTGTAACCGAAATTTTCTCGGGCACTCGTCTATTGAAAAACTGAAAAATGTGTAAATTTTTATAAAAACCAAAATGAAAGGCCTCTATTAACTAATTGTAAGCAAGTGCTAGATCATTTGCCTAATGTACATGTAATGTAAAAATAAACAAGAACTGTAGTATTTGGCCGCAATAGAAAGCATGCAACAAACAATTTTTGATACTGTACAAAATGCCAATCACAATATTATGAAAGTGAACATAATTGTGACAAAACCCAGAGAAAACACAAATTGTTAAGCAAATTACTTGCTCAAATGTAGTTAACACGAATGAGGGGAACACATCGCGAGAACAGAGATGGAGTGCGAGGTAGGGAGTTGAAGAGTTAACCCAAGTACCTTATAAATGTATATGATTTAATTTGCTTTTAGAGTCAATAATTTATCTCTCAAGCACATCAATTTCTTGTATAATTTCTTTAATAAATTCGGTATGGTCAAATGGCCGTTTTAAGTGCGCTGAACTACAAAACGCATTTATTCCGGGGGAACATGAATTATCTAACTCAAATGAATCTACTTACTTAACCACTGATGAGGCTGAAAGCAGCGACAGTCTAAAGGCTTTGGACGTTTATTGATTTAATAGCGAATACAGATTGTTGATAATATAAAGAAGCCCCTTTTAATTCAGAATCGCTTTGTTTTTAATGAAATATACGATATATTTAAAAAATAAATTCGAACATTTATAACACAGTGCAACATGAAAAATGTAACCGCAATTCTGATTTCATGGGCGGAAAGAACTTATCGAAATAAGCTAAAACCCATTTGGGTTTCTCTGGCTTAGCTCGCGTTTACCTATTATAGCGAGTTAAAGTTTTACATATAAAATTTATTTGTAACGGCCATATCTTGTGAACCGATTAAAATTTCACTATCACGTCTTCAGTGATTATGTAGCTATGAACCCAAGGAACTAAATTGACAAATGATTCTTGCGAAGACGTACACCTAGCGCGTTAAAAATAGAAAAATTTGTCAAATTTGTTTTTTAACGCGCTAGGTGCATTAGGTGCTAAGTGAGCAAGAGTCATTTGTCAATTTAGATCCTTGGGTTCATAGCTACATAATCACTGAAGACGTGATAGTGAAATTTTAATCGGTTCACAAGATATGGCCGTTACAAATAAATTTTATATGTAAAACTTTAACTCGCTATAATAGGTAAACGCGAGCTAAGCCAGAGAAACCCAAATGGGTTTTAGCTTATTTCGATGAGTTCTTTCCGCCCATGAAATCAGAATTGCGGTTACATTTTATAACCCTAAAAATGTTGCACAGTGTAAGTAAAGCCATTCAACAAATCGTTTCAGTATAAGTGACCGAATATATTCCAATTACGGCGTTATTTTAACATTTCTTAAAATTTTCAAAATGTCCGTGCATGAAGATATCTGTAACGCACTGTGCGAGAGTGTTATTGCCAAAGTTGAAACAAAAAGCAAATAAAGAACTATTGTGCTATTTATTTATAATGATTTGCATACTTTATTATACTTAAAATATATGAACTATTTTCTAGCCTCGTGAATCCATCTTTTGCAGTAAGGTGAGAAACGAAAAGGCAGTAGTAATAGTCTGGAAAATGGATTGAATATATAAAAGGGGTAATAAAAAAGCCAACCGGACTCCTTAAACTGTTATTCAACGCACCCCTCTAAATCTTTCCACGTTTAGATTGGTTATTTTTCCGGCAGTTAGTTGAAACTGCCGACGGGAATTCAGCATGAAGAATAGGTAATCACTGCGAACCTCCTTTAAATGACGCTGCCATGGACTTCGCCACAGGGCCTCACCGCATCGCTGACTATTCTGGAAAACGATGTCGGCAAAATAACAGATTATAAAGAGCTCGTACAGTACCAGTAGCAAGTACTGTCCCAGGGAGACCATCCGCATGAAGGAGTTGGCCGTTGTGCTCTTCGTAGACACAAATGCTACCAGGCACATGAGGAAAGTGACTTCACCGATTTTCACAAACCATATAGGACTGTAGAATCGCTCCATTTTCTTTAGAGCTGCCACTATATAACGATGGTGCTGTATGCAACGTACGAAAGACTGCCGAAATGCAGTGACAAAATCTCGTGAGGTTTCTGCTGTTGGTTGTAGAAGTTCTTGTAGAGGTGTCTGCTCTTCCAGTGAATATGCATATTGACTGGGCTCAGCATCGGACACAGATTGCTCAGCTTGTAGTTGTCTGTGAATGGATCATTTATTTAAAATAAGCATATACTCAAGCCATTCGATTTAATTTAATTCGTTGCAATGGTTAATAAAATTTGGTAAATTTCTTTGAATGGTCAGATACTTAGCTCTTTCTAATGTGAGAGCATACTAAAAGATAGGATAAACTTTATTTGAATTACACACTTTCCTTCAAGCAAAGAAAACTTAATATACCAAAATTATATTTTGAAACAAGAGAGAACGCTATTGTCGGGTTGGTGTCCCGACTATCTAATACTCGTCATTGATTGCGCATAACTTTTAAATGAATGGTCAGATTTGAAAAATGTCTTCTACATTTCGATAGGTATTTATGAACACTATAAAATTGCATTTATACGTTTTTAAAATCTTAAAAGATGAGGCCGCCAGACACTTTTCATCTTTTCATCTTTTCATCTTATGTGGGCGTTTGAGGGGGCGTGGTTTGGCTGAAACAAACTTGCGCTGCGTAGGAAGCCAAAGAATATTTGTGGGAAATCTCAACCCTCTAGCTTTTGTAGTTTCCGTGATCTCAGCGTTCATACGGACGGACAGACAGACGGACAGACTGTTACATACATACCTGTTACATACTTTTACACGAATACAATATACCCTTTTACTCCACGAGTAACGGGTATAATTACCTCAGCTCTGCCATATTTGCTCCCATCAGCACATAGCTTGTGGCCAGTACATTCTTAAGACTGCAAAAGAGCACATCGTATTGTCCTGATATTAGGACACAGAGCACCATATGCAGTCCACTCGAGGAGGCAAATGAAGCCGCCACTTGGATCTGGCCCATCGCCTGAAGGAAGAACACTACCTCATAGACAATCGGTTGCTAAAGATGGCATAATTAATTGAATTGTATTTATTAATTGAAACTCTCAACTTGCCGTGTAATCGAAGGGATACCAACAGGCTAGGGGCAGGCTCTTGTCTCTATAGGCTATGGGAAGGGCCAGCCAGAAAATGGTGCCAATATAACAACAGTACACATAGGTTTTGATCCACAGCTTGGACATCCGATAGGACTCTGCCATTGTAACATAGCTGAAGCCGACGGCAGAACGCGGCACATACTGGTCATTGATGTTGGACAGGATTTCATTCAGCAATCCTGGCCTGAACCGACGAAAGTAGAGCTTCATGGCAATGGTCCACAAGTAAATGATAGTTTGAATCAAGCAGTTGACGAAGAAGTCCAAGTCGCCTTGGCCGTAATTAATGTAGATGGTGCAAATGAACAAAGCAGCGATATGCACCGATACAAAGTAGTTGAAGAGTTCGTAGAGCAAGTCGCAGACTCGGACCAGATGGGCCAGGCATCCCGATCCCTTGACGTAATATCCAAACGGATACATGGCCGCTATGCACATGGTTTGTCTTACGAATACGAAAAGATCACGACGCTTGGAGTCGTCTTTGACCTTGTCTTCCTTGACTTTGCTATGCATTGCTTTCAAAAAGTTAATCAGAACTTCACCTCTTAGACTCGCTCTTTTATAGGCTAGTTGTTACTTGCCGCAAATCGGAAAAGTTTTCAATTATATGGCCACAACTAAATAAACTTTAAATTACACGTTGCAAGAGGCCAACACCAAAATGTGTCTTTTGATTATCATAAAATGAATAAATTATAGACACTACAATTTAATATGAGTTTCTGGTGGAAAAAGTTCTAAACTGTTTGTTTGATTTAAATAACTATATTTATAAATAAGAGGGTAATTTTCCACACTGAAATCGTCCAAAAATACTGATAAACTATGACCGATGAACTGGCTAGACAATTTGCAGAGATTTCTATAATCTCATGGTACAAATCTCTCTTAAGTGCCATTACTGATCACGTTATTGCCAATAATGACTGCTGCAGAACCTACAGAGACGAGGAAGAACAGCAGACTATGAATCTTCCAGAGTTATCATTTCTACTGAGATAAACCTTGAGGTGTAACTTATTTGCTTAGTTACAAAATATGACTGCGTATCGACTGAATTATGTAGAAAGGCTTCGCCGATTTTTACCAAGACATTTTTACTTCAGAGTTGGCCAACAGAAGTGAGCTGTTAGTTTTGAGAAGTTTGGCAACTAGGCCTTACAAATCATAACGCCACTTGACCACCCAGCCATTCAAACGAGTTCTTTGCAATTCCCCAGCTGGCGGACCATCAATTCCAAATAAACCCTGCCGTCGAGAGAGGAAAAGCGCTTTACATTGAAACCCAGTTGACCATGTCCGAGGAGTCGTGACTGCGATATGTTGGCAGCACTTGATTTCGTACGCCGAAATGCGCACACAACAATGGACGGAACCAATATGTCGAAGGAATAAGTCAGCCGGGAGGAATGCGCCCTGGTGCCTCATTTTCCTCCTTCCGCCCACTGAAATGCGACAAGTTTCCCTTTCCGTTGATCAATGTGCATGTTGCACACAAAGTGGCGACATGCGACTGCGACGAGTGGAATATGTGGGTCTGCCTGTGTATTCTCGGTGCATTGTGGCAGATGCAATCAAGCATCGGGCACCCACTGCTCGCTACGCCCTCACCCCCCAGCCAGGGTCATTATTTTAATGGGGCGTTCGTGGAGAAACGATTCCTCCTTTGGCATCCATTCTTCAACTACTTCATTGCATGTTGAACCGAGCGAGGACATTTTCTCTGATTAATTTATTCCTTAATTTGATGTGTTCTCGTTGCTAAAGCTCGAAATAAAAATATTTGGAAATTGTTCTTAAAATATTTTTTAGTTGTTTATGGACACTTTATAGAACTTATTAAAAAATGGGTACATCAACTAAGTACATATAATATTTACTTTTTCATACCAATTTTATACGATTTTATAGCATATGCTATTGATATGCAACCCCCGCCTTTACAGTGAAACCAATTCAGTTTATTTTTTATTCACTCCTTAATATGCTGCTGTACTTTATTATTTTAATTACTGCAATGTACTGGTAATATAAAGATAGATTAACAATGGGTTCTGGCGAGAGAATGAAGCAATTAAGCAAGAGTCATGCAGACGAGCTTGGACTAATCAAATGAGCGGCTGATATAAACGGTTAGACAAGCTGGATGAGGTCGCAGGACCTGGATTCTGGATGCGGGATCCTGTGGCCCTAGTCGATGTTCAGCTGGCGGAAGGTGCCCTCCATGCCGAACAGATCGTCGCTGGTCTTGGGGGCGCCTGGACGCAGGGACTCGTTGGCCTTCTTGTCTTCCTGGTCCTTGAACCACTGGGTGTTGTCGACCAGCTTCTGCTTCCACCACTGGTTCAGCTCGACCACGTTGCCGGCCTTGCCGCCGTACTCGTTGGGCAGAAGGTCGCGGGGCACCACCTTGTAGAGGCTCTCCACGTCGTTGTGGAAGGTGATGCGGCTGCGGATCTTCTCCTTCACGAACGGCTTCACGAAGTTGAAGATGGTGTCCACCAGCGGCGAGATGTTGATCACGTGCACCTCCTTCACCTTCACCGGATACGCCTCCTGCACGGCGATCAGGAACTTCTTCACCACGGTGGGCGAGAATTTGGCAAAGTGGGCGGCGCTGGCCACCGACGCGTCCAGGATGAAGATGTCGCCGGCGATGCCGACGCTCTCCTCCGCCAGGCGGACGTCCCCGATCATCAGGGCCACCTTCATGGCGTCCAGGATGTGGTGGGGCTGGAAGTCGCAGTCGATGCCCCGGATGAACGTGATGCGGCGTCCGTTCGGCGTGATCCCCGGGAGAGTGGGGCAGTGTCTGTCAAGGAGATGGAGATGGGATATTTACACACCATATTTATAAGGTATATAAACTCTATTCTATCTTTCTAATGATCTATTATGTTATATGATATACAATGTGAAATTTACACTATTCATATATATATGTTTTAAATCAAATTGCTATTTATTTTGCTATACTCACACATAGTCCAGCACGATATTGAGTTCCTCACGGTTGATATCCCGGTTGGAGAAGAACTCGGGCACCGCGTTGCGCATGGTGTAGTACATGTCCAGCTTCTTCTTCACCTTCTCCAGGCTGAACTTGCAGCCGCGCAGGAAGGTCGTGAGGCGCATGTCGTCCATGTCCTTGGGCAGGTGGGGCTGCGTCTCCAGCCACTCGCGGATCAGCTTGATGTCGCGCTCAATGTCTGCGGGATCCTCTGGCTCGCGGAGCTCCTCGCGGATGCTCACGCGCTGGTCGGGTGTGGGGTGTAGCATCATCATCTGGGGAGAGCAGGGGTATTGGAGGAATTAAAATATATCTACGTATTTTAGTTATAAAGAAGACCTTGCTTGGAATTAGTATAATAACCATGAGCTCTCCGGGTAAAACAATGAAATTGCAACCCCCATTCTTCGCTGGCTATTTCGCCACACTTTTTAATACGCAATACGAAATAATCAGATATTTTTGACATTTTAATTGCGCGCTTTCAAAACGCTGGCCGTTCGTAGGTCTTGCGGTCACACGTCACTGCCTGGATTCATTAGCATGGGCTGTGGCCAAATATGCATTACTTGGGCCCGCCCCTCATCAGGTGTATTTATATAGATATAGCACCGAGAGCAGGGGCCTGAAGTTTGCGTAAGGGCCAAAACAAAGTCAGCTGACATCGACCTCAAAAAGCGTTCGTGGCCCTTCTGTTTCGGGTTTCAAGCGATCTGCCCTATAAGGCGGCATATATATTTGTAAATAATAATGTGAGTCTGGGCAAATGAAGAAAAGTGACTTGGAGATAGTCATGCCTGACAGTTAGTACAATAAATGGTTACTGTATATTTTGGCTTAAACGCTCGCTGCTTTGTTTGCGCTCATTGGGGCGTACTTATGGCCCAGCTTTTAATAGCTCTTGTTTGTTTACTTTTGTTTTTAAATCTTACTTGGTGATGCGTGAATTATCTTTATTTTTGCCATGAGGTAATTGACATTAAGAGGGGAATGATTGATTATACTTACTGAAAATACTACACGTACAGAATTTGATTAGGCAACATTAGGAGTAGGCAACACAACAAAGTCGGCTGCAACAAATGGGCTATTTGAATCCGAATTTGCAACACCGCACACACAGCGAGCTCATTGGGGTCAAGCAGAGCTGGTGGAGGAAAATCTCTCGAAATGCGCCAGAGTCTGATTGGGGGATTGGATGTGGTCTCAGCCAGCTTGCAATGCAACCACAGTTGCTGCTGCAGTTGCAACCTGCAACCTGTTAGAATTGCAATCACCGCCGGTGGACTGGAGGAGGCTCGGCCACACTCAAATTGCTGTGTGTGCACACTCCTATGGTTTTTCTTTTTCTTCTTTTTTGCGCTAATGGCCGCTGCGGCTATTGCAAATTTTTCTTCTGGCCTGCAACTCTATTGCAAATATTGCGAAAATCTTCAGCAAAACAAAACAGCGCGAAACACAACGATTCGAAAATCAAGCGGCCAAGACTCAAGAAAAATAGGCACAAAACGGGTTTTATTAACTTATTTTTCTGTTTTCGGTCGCTTGGCTCCAGTTAAAGTGCTTTCGGTTTCTGTCTCTCTCGGCCTTTGTCTTTTGCTCCTTCATCTCATCTGTCCCGCTCCAGACCATTTGACGTCGTTACAATAATTCTGTTTGCCCATTTGTTTTGTAATGCTTTTTTTGAAGAATTTCGGCAACGATTGCGGGTAGCATTTAAGTGGTTTAGGAAATGGTTAGTAAACAAGAGGTTTACAAGAAAAATGGGAAGAGCTTAAAATGCTCAATGTTGATAGGGAACATTTAGTTCGTTAAAGTGATTCAGTGTTTTCTAATGTATATTAGGCGCTATTATATCATATTATGGGTAAGGTCAAAGTTTAACTCTATGGCTTTCTTGAACAAATAGTTTTGTACTCTCTAAATATACCACGAGTTCTTATTGGTTTCTAAATATTATAATAATAAATTATTTAATTTCGTTCGTTATATTATTATATTCATTGCATGGCACACATAAATTAATTTTTTAAAATCCTTTCTTGATTTCGATCAATGAACTCGGCACCCTAAACATTCCGAAAATATTTTCCGTTTATTATGCATTATTTAAAGATTCCAACAACCATTGTTGGACCACATAAATCGCCTTCTTCATTATTCCCTGCCATTCAAATTGAGTTATTCGCGCAATCTCAAGTCAAGTTATTGTCCCCTTGTCAAATTTATGGCTCTCCGTTGGTTGGATCACAGAAGTCCTCAACTTCTTTTGTATTTCTGGAATTCAACACATGATTTGCACACTTTATCGCGAATTTTTCGGCACACTAATTTAAATTCCAGGCGTTGTCCTATGTCAACAGCCCCCAGAAATGTGAACTCAATGTTTGGGCGGTAGTTCTTATGGCATGGGATGGCTCACCTTGGTCAGAGGTAATCCTTTAGGTTATATATCCAACGGACAACGCGGCGTATGATGAATAGCTCACAACCGAAGCGCTCA